CCGACAGCTACGGATACGTCTACGTCGTCCCCGAGCCCGGCTTCTTCGAGCACCAGCCCGGCCTCGCGCCCGCCGGCTTCTTCCCCTCGCCGCCGATCGGCCAGCCGATCGGCGTCGGCGGCGGCATGGTCGGCGGCGGCCCGATGCCTCCCCCCCTCGCCGCCGCCCCCTTTGTCGGCGCCGGCGCGGGATGGCTGCCTCACCCGCCGCAGATGGCGGGCGCTCCTCCTCCGCCTCCGCCGCCGCACGCTCCGCCGCCGCACGGCGCCCACCCCTACGGCGGCCTCAGCCACCCGCAGGGCCACATCCTCGCGCACTCGCCGCACGGGCAGCCTCTCGCCGCCGCACCGCACGCCGCCGCACCTCCGCCTCCCTCTCCCGCGGGTGGGCCGCGCACCGGCGCCTCGCGAGGCGCGCCGCCCGCCGCCGCGGCGGGCGGCGGCGCGCGACGAGCGTCGACGCGCGCGCTGGCGGCGGAGCGAGCCCGCGCCGGCGGCCGCGTCTCCCTCGCGGCCCGCGCGACGGAGCAAAAGCAGTCGCGGCTGCTGCAGCAGGAGCTGGTGCGCATGTCGGACACGCAGCTGCAGTGCGCGTGCGAGGAGCTCGCGCCGCACCTGCTCGAGCTCGCCACCCACGCCTTCGGCGCGACCTAGCCGAGACGCGGCCGGGACGCGGCCTGATCCCCACGCACGCCTCTGTCTGCCCGCCGCCCGCCCGGAGGCACGAGAGGTGGGCGAGAGGCCACGGCCGCCCCGACGCACGCCCGCCCCTCCCCCTTGCAGGCAACTACGTCGTCTCGAAGCTAGTCACGCGCTCGCAGGCGCACGCCGCCGTGCACTCCGCCCTGCGCGGCTCCGTCGTGCCGCTGCTCAAGCACCCGCAGGGATCGAGGGTCGTGCAGGCTGCGCTCGCCGAGCTTCCGGCGGGCGAGGCCGCCTCGCTCGCCGGCGAGCTGGACGGGCATGTCCTCGAGTGCGCGCTCGACACGCACGGCTCGTGGGGCGTCTGCGTCGCCTTCCGGCACACGCACGCGCCCTTCCTCGTCGCGCAGGAGAGGGCGGCTAGACACTTCCCAGACACTTCCCAGAGCGCCTCCCAGAACGCCTCCCAGACACCTCCCAGACACCTCCTCGCCCCGACCACCGCCTCCGGTCCTCCTCCCTGCACGCCCCTCCCCCTCCCGCCCCCCCCCCACCCCCTCCCCCCTCCCCCCCCCCAAGGCCCCATTTTTTCGGCCCCCTTTTCCCCGGACCCCGTGAGGTTTGCAAGACACGGTTGCCGGCGCTTCTGCACGCAGCAGCCTTTGAAGCGGGTGGTGCAGCAGCTGCTGCACGAGGCGGCCTCCGCCGGGATGGACATCTCGGCCGCCGTCGGCTCCCTCCTCGAGGGCGAGCTCGGCTACCTGGCGGCGCACCCCTTCGGCAACTACGCCGTCCAGGCGGCGCTGCGGCACGCGGTCCCTTCGCAGCGGGTGGCGATGCTGGACGCGCTCCTCCCCTCGATCCTCGCCCTCTCCGGCTCGAAGCACGGCTCCAACGTCGCCGAGATGCTCCTCATGCTCGCCTCGGTCGAGCAGCTCGAGGCCGTCCGCCGCCAGATCTTTGGCCCGCCCGACACCCCCGTCGACCTCGCCGAGCTGCCGCAGCTGCGCGCCCTCATGTCGTCCCCCTTCGGGAACTACGTCCTCCAGGCGCTGCTCCGAAAGCTCAAGGACGGGCGGCGATCCGCCGCGCTGCAGCTCATCGAGCGGCACATCTCCGACGACAATTTCGGGCGCGCCATCCTGGCCGCCGCGTCGTCGGCCTGAGGGGCGCGAGCGGTGGGCGTTTTCCCTTCGCCGAGCGCCGGGCGGCGACACTCAGATCATTTATCATTTCCCGTGGACGTCTCCTGGGATGGGATGGGATGTCTTGGCGCTCTCTGTCTCTCGCGCGGGGCGCACGCCGCTGGGGGCGTGAGAGATGGCGCGGCGCGCCACGTCGCCCTCCGGGGGCTTGTGCGGCACGCGGAGCAGAGAGCGCGGTGTGTAGAAGTGCGGAGGGTGCGGGGGGTGAAGGGATTCGAAAGTCGATGAGGACAAGTGATGAGACAAGTAAGAATATGTCTTTTCGAATAAGTAACAAGTCTGAAATCAGAAATGTGTTGTGAACCCCCGTGAACGACCAACGAGACAAAAGAAACGCCGGTTTTGCCGGCCAACTTGATTCCCGGATGCGCGTCTCACGGCCGGGTCACGGCACACACGGGACGGGTGGAGGGAGGGGGGTGCGGACATGGGGGTGGATCCGTAATGCGTAAATCCGTAAATCGTAATTTGTAACCAAAGCCACGAAGAGCCCGCCATCACACCCAGCTACCAGGCAGACAGAGATCCAGCACTCGCGACACGCTGAGAAGCCGGAGGCTGGCCTCTCCAATGCTCGCGCAACGCTGTCTGAACGCGCTAGCTCTCCGGGGTCCGGGCGGCCCACACGGTGGGAGGGTCGACGACCGTACGACTGTAACGCTACGTATCTCTTAACAATCACTATATTCGCGCTTGCGCTGCGCCTCTGCGAGTGCGATTATCAACCCCTCACGCGTGTGCATAATCCCCTCCATCTTGTTGTGCAGCCTTGACCTCTCCGGTCACGCCTCTGCGGCATCAGCGCGCCTCGCCTCTGCCTCCATCGAAATCTGCAGCGCGTCGAGCTGCTCGCGCAGCTCAGCCTGCATCTTGGCCCGCATCTCGCCGATACGCCACTCACACTCAGCTCGAGCTGCGTGTTTTGCCTCGTCGGCCATCCGCTCGGCCGCTTTGATGTCGCGTTTAGCAGCCTGCTGCGCTCTCGTCAGGATGTCGCAGTCGGAGCGCCTCAGCTCTTGTGCCGCAGCAAGCTCATCCCCGCGCCGACGCGAGTGCCCTCTTCACAGCGCTCGCAGAGCGCTGCTCAGAAGCGAGCTCCTTGGTCTGTGACCGCAACTTCTCTTCCAACTCCTGCCGGAGCAGCATCTCAGCATCGTACTACTCGCGGCTGCATGGATGTCCGAGCCCTTTAGCGTGGTTTGCGTCTCGTACTGAGATCGGCTCATTGAGCAGGCGCTCCAGCACAATGCTGAGCTGCGTCGGTGCCATGTGTCGACGTGTCCAAGGCGAGGGGAACGGACGTCGCCGAAAGTCACGTCATTAGTTCACGCCGAAAGTACGTCTAACGCCTCCCGCTATTGCAATAGCTAGGGCACGCTCCCAGGCGGCTGGGGGCCGCTCTCCAGCTCGATTAGGGCGCTTTTCGCGCGATTTTACGCAATTGCGGATTGGAGGGGGGTGGCGTCACATAGGGGGAGGGGGAGACGCGCATCTACGAATCAAGTTGGTGCCGGGTGGTGCCCGTGGCCCGTGCGCGAATTTTCGGCACACTCGAGCGCGCCGTCACTTCTCTGGAGTCTGGTAGGACGTAGGACGGGAAAGAGATGGATGAAGGCAGTCACTGACTCCGTAAAACTCAGTACTTCAACTCACTAGCCGTCTCCCCACCTCCATCTCGACAGACACAAAATAAGGGGAAACGCAAAAACGGTGACATGGTTAGCTTCGTACACGCGTACACGACGCCATATCGCCGTACATTATTGTACCACGAACACATGGATGCGACGACTCCACAATAAGCAGGAGCATGAGCCTGTTTCAGCAGCCTGTGGCCGCCCTCTCGATATCGGGGGTGCACGCTGCGAGAGCCTCCTCCGTGGCGGGTATCCACCAATCGACGTCGACGATAGCGGCGGGTGTCACGAGCCAGATCCAGGTCATCGCCCAAGCCCAGGCATACGTCGTCCAAGCAGAGTCGCCCACGCGGAGGGCGTCGCTGGCGAGGCGCCACATGTCGACTGTTGGCTGCAGGATGCTCGTGCCGGGCGCGGCGTAGATGTCGACGCCCTGGTAGAACGGGTCGCTCTTCATGATGACCGCGGTGTAGCCTCGCTCGACGCAGGAGCCCTCGTCCTCGATGCTCCTTAGGATCGCTTTCTCGCCAAGCAGCGAAGCAGGCCACACGGCAACGACGTGGGGCTCGGCCGCGCCTAGCATGCAGCCCTCTGCGTAGGAAGCCGACTCGACCTCGTAGCAGTAGATGGACCCCTCGGCAGTGAGCGTCACCCGGGCTGGCGGCTGAGTTGTCTCGCACACAACAGGTTTGGTTGCCTTGCGTCCCACAAGCTGCGTGCCGTTGCCGGCATTCAGCGGGCACCAGAATGAGGAGATCTCGCCACCCATGTGGGGGTCGACGCAGGCACTCCGGTTATAAGCGGGCCAGGAGTCGGGGCTATCCGCCCAAGCAAGGTAGGCCGGATAGTGCTCTGTGCGCTGTCCGTCCCCATCGACGATCTGAAAGACGGGATAGTGCGCCTCGACGGCAGAGAGGGAGGAGAGCAGGCCCGGCGGCAGGGAGGAGAGCAGCGCGGCGGCGTCGAGCACTCGCGTGACCCGGTCCCATCCCCACGGGCGGCGCTCCATGCTCATGTGAAAGGCCCACATCGGAAGCTCGACGTAAGCATCGGAGGGAGCGCTACCCACGATGGAAGAGGCCTTAACGTAGAGATGCAGGTCGATGGTCTGCATGGTATTGTCGGTGAAGCAGAAGTCGAGCATCGCTCGGTTGTCCAGCGCCGAGCTAAAGACACCGCTCGTGCCGCTTGCGGAAACGTCCATGAACGTCCAGTGGCCCGCTGCGCCTCCATAGATTGGCACGCGACCGACGCATCGCGTGGCAGGGTCCCAACCCGCGCCGTCACCCCACGTGACGAGCAGTTCGTCGGCCGAGCTCTCAACGACCTGTCTGTACTCGGGATCGGAAGGCTGCGGGAGGTGCACGCCTCGCTGGTCCATCCACCAGATCCCGTGCAGCGACGCCGGGATCGCCGACCCGGTGCGAGCATACGAGAGCTCGTGCTCGACCTGATCGTTGCGGATCCGGTGCAGCGCGAACGGCCCCTCTGCGTAGCCCGATCGCACGTCGCAGCAAGCTCCTTCCCAGCCGAGATCACAGGCGCAAGAAGTGGGCGCCTCCCAAAATCGACGCGAGCCGTGACCGCAGCGCCAGCAGAGCCATCCTAGTGGCGCGCCGGTGAGCGCTAGGGTGAGGGCGATGGCGGGCATGCGAATCGAGCCAAGTTGAACAAGGAGCGGGCGCAGCGTCCCACTGGACGTGTCCGCCTCGATTTTCTTTTCCTTTGACGAGGAGTAGCTTCGTCGACAGGTGCGGGACCGGCGATGCCTCCGGCTGTTTGCGGCGGGCGGCTTGCTGTGCTCGCTGCGCGATGGCGAAGAACTCGTCTCGTTCACCTCGAGAACACGCCAAGACGCAAGAGCTTATTTATGCTCTATGGCGAGACGACAGACGTAAGGCGCTTGCGCCCAGGAGGGGAGGGCGCATGCATAACGACGCTGCTAGAGATGCCTTTCCGGGCCCAGAGATAAAACTTCTGATGCCATTGCGTGACCTAGTTAGTATAGTGTCCCCAGGCTATGGGCGTGTCCACGTTGGGAGAGAGAAGCCACGTGTGGTGTGGACGCGAGAACAGCTCGGCCGTTCAGCAACCGATGCGAGTCGACTGGTGTGTGTCGTCGTGGTTTCGTATCAATAATACTCACTCACTCACAAAGAACACGCGCGCGCGCGAAAGAGAGAGAGAGAGAGAGAGAGAGTTACAGAGAGAGAGAGAGAGAGAGAGAGAGAGAGAGAGAGAGAGAGAGAGAGAGAGAGAGAGAGAGAGAGAGAGAGAGAGAGAGAGAGAGAGAGAGAGAGAGAGAGAGAGAGAGAGAGAGAGAGAGAGAGAGAGAGAGAGAGATTGCTGGCGCGTCCTGCGGCTCGGTGGCGGCCACAGCACTCCGAGTCGAGAAAAAGCCACGACAACTAGCTAGCACACGACAAACGGTAGAGGGCGGTCACACACAGGAAGGAGGCGGGCGGGAGAAGCCGCGCGGAAACTAGGTCGAGAAACTAGCGCAGGGCCAGCCCAAAAGGAAAGGGATCTTCCTCGTGTCCTCGCTCGGAAGTTGAAGTTGCGTCGTCAAGTATGTGTCGCGCAAATGCAAGAACGTAAAAGAGTTGTGTCGGCCGGGTGCACGCCGTGTGGACTTCTATCGGATGATCGCCTGCCTGCGCCGGAGATCGCACTCCGAGTGCCTGCCGACGCATTCGGACGCGCTCGGAAACGTGAGCTGCCACGCAACTGCGAGGTGGATTAAAACAAGGGCGGCGAGTTCTGTCCTCCTCGCGGCTGTCGCCGCCACAGCACTGCTCTACTTCTCAGGAGCTCTGTACACGGGAAATGAGGAGACGTGACGCCACGACGCAGCCAACGGCGTGTGGTGCAGCCTTGTCAGTATCTCGATGTGAGCCGGGGAGCCTTCCCTGCGATGCCATCCTGTGTTGCGGGTTTTGCGTGCGGCTCTTGAATGCGGCCTGACAGTCTGATAGTCGGTGCCTTCTCCCCGTGCGACGGGTTACGGTGTATTCAGGCTAAATGATAGGCTACATGCGCAGTGCCGTGCACCGGGGGCGTAAGGCGTGCGGCTCTATTCTCCGTCCGGCGCCTCGGGGCCACACCCCACCAACGCGGGCGGGAGAGCCCGCTGGGGGGGAGACCCCGCGGCTCACGACCGCCCGTGCGGTCGCGACGTGTAAGAGTACCGGCATCGGGAGCGAAAATTTGCCGTCCGCGATGTCCATCGCCGAGAGATGCAGAGACACGCACAGCTCGCGACGGGGGCAGCTCGGCTGTCTGCTGCTCGCGGCGTGCGGTGTCAGCGGGCTACTTCTCTGCTCTCCGCCCTTGCCGCTTGCGCCTTGCTTAGCTCAGGAGAGGGCCGAGTTTCGCGTGTCGGCGGAAACCCTTCCCCCTCCAACCACCTTGATGGGTCCACGGCTTCTCTATACCAGATCTGTGTTTTTCGTGGCGGGTCCGCATTCCCGCCTAACTCTTTTGATTTTTGATTTTTTTGCGAAACCCCGCTCCGGCCATGACGGTTATGCATTTGTGATTTGAAACTCGTCAGGCGGAACTCATGTACGTCATCAGCTGGAGGAGCCAGCGGGGCAGCGATGCCAAACACTAAGTTTTTTCTCTAAATTCTCTTTCCCGCGTACTGAACCCGTCATGCGGGGCGACTCGTTGCCCCCTGGCGTCGTCGGCGGTGCTCTCTTCGCCTCCCCGCGCCCATCATCGCCCTGGTCGAAGGAACTTATCGCCTTGCTCCCCTCTAGGCGTGCGTGGCTCGCTCACCCTCTCCGTGTCGTCCGCCGAGTGGCTCGACGCGCCGCCCGACGCCGGCTGTGAGGTCAGGGTGAGGTGGTGGGGCGAGGCTGGTGAGGGTCGCGTGCTCCGCCCGCCGCCGCCAGTCGGGAGCGCCGCTGATCACTACCAAGCCGGCCTCTCCCACCGCCGCGACGAGGTGGGCGCAGCGACGGCGCAGTACGCTGTCCGGTGCGGACGGCCGCAGCTCAAGCGGTACTTCGAGGACATGCGCGAGCTCGTAATCGAGCTGCGCGAGACGCGGGCGCTGCCGCCGAGCCGCGACGCGCCGCCGGGGCCGCCTCCGTGCGCAGCCCGCCTGCCCTCGCTGCGCCGACGCACTCTCTCTCAGCGGTCGCGCTTCAGCAGGCGGAGAGCCTTTGCCTACCTGCACCTCGGGCTGGCGCACCTGGACATGCCGTACAAGGCGACGCTGCTCGGGTACTCGCTCGCGCCCGCGCAGGACGCCGAGATCGCCAGGCGCACCCTCTCCCTCCTCGCAGCCGCCACCCCCGGAGCTGCGGTCGTCCACTCGTCTTGCTTCGTGCGCAGGCTCGAGGTCTCTCTCGCCACCTCCTTCTCCGCCGCCGCCGCCGCGGCCCTGCAGGGGACGCCGGCCACGCCCTCGCTCCTCGCCGACGCGGCGCACCTCGACCCCCGCACCGGCGGAGCGCACGACCACCCTTCGAGCCGCCGCCTCAACCTCTCCTCCTCCGCCAGCACCGGCGGCGGCGGCGGCGGGTGCGGCTCGGTCTGGGCGTCGGAAGAGGCGGTTCCCTTCGCGTCGCTGGCCTCCTCGTTCGCTCTCAACGAGAAGAGGGCGCGCGCCGCCCGCCGCGACTTCCCTCGCCGCGAGGAGCCATCTCCGGAAGAGTGCCTGGCCCCCTCCCCACAGGCTCTCTTCGACGAGTCGCTGCCGCTGCTGCCGCGCCCGTCCTCTGCGGCGGACGCGGAGGCGGAGGCGGAGGCGGCGGCGGGGGCGGGGGCGGGGGAGGCCGAGATCGCGGCTGCAGAGGCGGAGGCCCAGGCGGAGGCGGCGGCGGAGGCTGGGTGGGCGGCGGCGGGGCGGCTGGTCTGCGGTGGAGAGCCGCAGTGGCTGACCCGGGCGGAGGAGGAGCTGCAGGCCTCCGACCCGGACCGCACGGCGGAGCACGCGGCAGAGGCGGGCGAGCCGATGCCGCTCGAGCAGCTGCTGCCGCCCGCCGCGCCGCCCGCCGCCGCCGCCCGCAGCCGCTCCCGCCGCTCGCCGCGCCGCGCAAGCCGCCGGCTCAACGGCGGAGGCGAGGCGGGCGGCGCGCTCGCGTCTGCGCGCACCTCGCGCTCAGCGCGCGCCGCCGCCCGCGCGGCCGAGGCGGAGGCGGTCAAGTCTCGCGCCCTCGCACAGCGGACCGGCTCCATCCTCGCGCGCGCCGTGCAGCTGCGGGAGCGCATGGCGGCGGCAGCCGGCGCAGGCGGCGTCGCTGGCGGCGAGGCGGCGATGGCGGCGCAGCGGTTGCGTGGCTGCGTCGGGGGCGGCGCTCTCGGCGGAGGCCTCGCGAGAAGCTCTTCACACCTCGCGAGAAGCTCTGCGGCCGACGAGTCGTCGCTGCTGCAGGAGCTCTTCTTCGACGGGTCCGACCGGCTGCTGCCTCTCGGGAGCGGCGCAGCTGATGCAGCCGCGGCCGACGCCACCGCCGCCCCGCCGCCGATCGCTGCGCCGAGCGGCGGCGGTGCTGCGGAGGGGGCGACTGGCGCGGCTCTGCACAAGGAGGCGGAGGCGGAGGCGGAGGCGGAGGCGGCAGAGGCGGACGGCGATGGCCGGGAGGAGCCGCTCCACCTCTCGCTCGAGATCAGCGGCGCGCGGCTGTTGCCTGCGTGCGACGCGCCGGCCGACGCCGCACCGCCGCGCGCCAACTTTTACCTCGTCTGCCGGCTGCACCCCGACGTACTCGGGCCGCCCTCGCTCAGCGCGGGAGGGTCCTACGCCCGCCACCAGCTGCGCTCGCAGGTCCCCTTCGCGACCAGCTCCCCCGACAACCGCCCACCCGACAACCCCTCCCCCCCCTCCCCCCTCTTGCCCCGCCTCCTCCCACCCGCACCATCGGCCGCACGCCTCCCGCCCAGGTCGCGTGGGGCGCCTCCTCCGCCAAGTTCGCCATGCGACACGTCGCGCCGCTCGTCGGCTCCGCGGCCGCCGCCCTTGCGCCTCCCGCTTCGCGGCCGCGTCTGCTGCCCGCCGCGTCCGACTGCGACGAGGCGGAGGAGCCGGTCGAGCCGGCGGCGCCTTCGAGCACTCCGGCGCTGGAGAGCGGCGCGGATTGGGATTGGCGCCTCTGTTGTTACACGCTCACCGCGAGGGCGAGGTGCGTAGGCGCGGCCGCAGGAGCTGGTGCTCGAGGCGTGGACGGTGGACGGCGCCTCTCAGGAAGCGAGGCCGTGCGACACTCGCCCCTCCCTTGGGCCTTGCCGGAGCCCTCTCGGTGCCTGCCCGTAGGACGAGACGCTCTGCGGGCTCGTGCGGGTGCCTCTCCCGCCCGCCGCCGGCCTGCTCGACCGGAGCTACGCCGCGCTCCTCGTCGGCGGGCGGGCGGAGGCGGCAGACCCCTTCAGCGGCGCCCCGAGCGCCGAGATCGAGCTCCGCGTCGCCGTCGGCACGGCGGCGCAGCTGGCCGCGACGGAGGAGCTGCGCGCCGCGGTGAGCACGCTGCAGGGGGCGGCTCGCCGCTGCCTCGAGCGGCGCAAGGAGCGGGCCGCCCGCGCCGCAGAGGCGGCCGTTGCCGCCGCCGCCGCGACGCCAGAGGCGGTGGCGAGGGCGGCGCGCGATGCGGTGGCGGCGGCCGGGGCGGGCGTCTCCTCGTGGGCGGAGTGGGCGGTGGAGGGGCCTGCGGACGGGTCTGGGGACACGGCGGCGGAGGCTGTAGTGCCCGCCGCCCTCTCGGACTACCGCCGCACGCCCTCCCCCCCCTCCCCCCCTCCGCCCCGCACGCCGGGGCTGCCGGATCAGCGCGCGGCGCCTGACGCCCCGCCCGGCGGCAGCGCGGCGGTGGCGGCGGCGCGGCAGCGGTGGTACTTTGTAGTGCGCGTCTCGCGCGGCAGTGGCCTGTCCTCTCTCCTTCCGCCGAGCGAGGCGTCTTCGCCCCTCGCCGAGCCGGGGTACGGCGCGGGGTCGCTGTACGTGTTTTACCGCTGGGACGGCGGAGGCGTGGTTGCGAAGCTGAGCGGCGAGACGGGGATGGCTCGGGCGTGCGACGAGCCGGCCTTCGGGTACGAGCGGTCGCTCCGCCTCGAGACGTCGCTCGCCGACGGCCAGTTCCGCGCCTTCGTCGCCACGCAGCAGGTCTGCTTCGAGGTGCGTGGCGCGGGCGCAGGCAGGCCGCGTCTCGCCCTGCACGTCACCCCCTCGGCCTCGCTCCCTTCCCTCTCCAGGTGTGGCGCGTCCCTCCGGGCGGAGAACAGCACAACCTCTTCACGCACCAGCTCGTCGGCACCGCCACCGCACACCTCGCCGACGCGGCCGCCTCAACCTCGATCGGCGCGACCCTGCGCTGCCGCATCGATCCCGCGCAGACGCCGCGCCGCGGAGGCGGGGGCGGCCCTCCCGCCGCCGCGCTGCACGTCGCCTTTGCCCTCGGCAGAGCCGACCCGATCTCGGTGCGGCGCCCGCCACCCGCCCCCGCCTCGAGACGGGACCGCCCGCCCCCCCCTCGAGGTGCGATCTCGCCGACACGTCGGCCCCATCCCTGCTGCCAGGCGCCGCTCGACCTGCCCGCCTTTGGAACGAGCGACGCGAGCGCCGGCTCGTCCCCGGCCCCGGACGCGCTTGCGCCGCGGGACGCCTCTCCTCGATTCGCCTCTCCTCGCCAGCGCCGCGGCTCTGCGGCGGCCGCGCCGCCCGCATCTTCCGTCGGGGGGTTCGCCTCGCCCGGCGGGGTGCCGCTCTCTCCTCGCGCGGCCCCGGCCCTCTTCCCCCCGTCACCGCTGCCGCTGCCGCTTGCGGCCGCTGGCAGCGCCGCCTCGCCGGCCGGCTCCTCCGTCTCCAATGCTCTCGGAGGAGCTGTGGGCAGCTCTCCGGCCACGTCCTCGAGCCGCACCTCGTCGGAGGAGGCGATCGAGGAGCGGCACTTTGACGGCTGCTGCTGCGGCGCATGCGACGGCGCGGGGACCGCACTGACCTCGGCCGACGGACTGATGGGCGCCCAGCTCAGGCACTCCATCCGCCGCGACCTCGCGTACGCCGACTCGGTCCTGGAGAGCCTCGGCTCTGCGACGGCACCGCCCCTCGCCCTCCCCTCTATTCGCGGCGCGGTCGGTTCGCTCTTTGACTCGTGCCACCCGGCGCGAGCAGCATCGCCGCCGCCGCCGCCGCCGCCGCCGCCGCCGCCGCCGCCGCCGCCGCCGCCGCCGCCGCCGCCGCCGCCGCCGCCGCCTCCGCTTGGCCCCGTTCGGCTTGCGGTGTCGCACGCTCACCTGCCCTCCTTCGAGCGCGCCGCCGCCCTCGCTGGCGCACGCTACCGCGTGCGCGCGATCCTTCCAGGCACCACCTGCGCCGAGTCTGGTGCCGCCGAGGCGCCCGCGCCCCATGCCGCCGGCGGGAGCTTGTCGGTGCAGTTCGGCTTCTGCCACGAGGTGCAGCTGTCGGCGCAGTCACCCTCCGCTGCCGCGCCAACGGCCGAGCTTCAGCTCTGGCGCGTGGGCGCCACCTCCGAGGCGCCCGCCGACGCCGCGGGCTGGGCCGCCACCGGCCGCCTGATCGGCTGCACGTTCGTCCCACTGCTGCCGCCGCTGCCGTCGCTCGCCCTGGCGGCCTCGCCGTCGGCGGAGGCGCCGCCGGCCGATTCCGACCCCTCCGCCGCCGAGGGCGTCGCGGCTCGGCACGCCCTGCTCGTCACCGAGGGAAGCTGCGCCCTCTCTGCCAGCGCGGACCTGACCACCGACGGCGCCTTCTACGCTTCGGTGCAGCCAGCGGGCGACGGGCACGGCGAGCCAGCCTCGCATCCTATCGACCGGAGGGTCGCGGGGGGGCAGCCGCTCTCCGCCGAGACGCTCGCCCCCGCCTCCGCCTCCACTCTCACGCAGACGGTCGGCCGGTGGCCCAGCGACCCGTGCCGCGACGCGCAGCTCGCCGCGCTGCTCCGTCCGTCGGAGTCCACCGCGGCAGCAGCACCGCCTCCTCCTCCGCCTCCGCCACCGCCACCGCCATTGGGGGCGCTCCCCAGTATTGCGCCGACCGGCGGCAGCTTCGCCGGGCGGTCGGCGTGCGGCCCCTCTGCCGGCAGCGAGGGCTCTTGCAGCGAGGCGGGCGGCACGCGCCCCTCTGACCGACCGCACGCGCCGCTTCTCACCAGAAGTTGCGCCGAGATGCGTAGGCGGCGTGCGCGTTCGAGTCGGCGATGCGCGAGCGGCACCGGCTGCTGTCGGCCGACTGCGGCGGCGGCGACGATGACGATGGCGGCGGCGGCGGTGAGGGCGGCGGTGAGGGCGGCGGTGAGGGCGGCGGTGAGGCGCGCGCGCTTGCGCCCGCAGCGCCGCTCTCGCTGGCGTCGCTGTCTGGTTGCGTGAGCGAGCTGGACGCGGTGATGCGGAGCCTGACCCGTTTCCCCCCTCTCGACCCTCCGGCGCCCTCCCCCGCCGCCCCTCCCCCTGTCCTGCACACCGCCGCGGGCGAGGGCGCTGGTGGCGAGGGCCCCGCCGCCGTTCCCGCCGCCGCTGCCGCTACCGCCCCCGCCTCGCAACCCGCGGCAGCCTTCGACCCTCCGATTGGCGGCGCGTCGCCTTGCGGGCCGGCGCCCGCAGGGGCACCACCCGCGGCCACCGAGCCCTTCCCGCTGGACGAAACTGCGGGCGGGAGCGAGGCCGCCTCCACGCCCGTGCGGCGAAGCGCGCCGTGGCCCCCCGTCCGCCTCTCCCCCGGTGCCGCCCTCTCTCCCCAGGAGCTGGAGCGGATCGCGCGGATCCTGCACAGTGGCGGGCCCTCACGCGGCGGCGAGAGCGACTCGTCGTCTGAGGGCGACTAGTGGTCATGAGAGACTTAGTGGGGATGGGGGCTGTAACTTGTATTCAGGGGTCGAGGGTGAGAGCATGCCGCATGTGAAGATGTGTACTAGCTGCAAATGTAGCAGCTGTTGGGTGCATGTCGAGTAAAAGCACGAATGTCGAATATCGTTTTTTAACGCGCGCGTGCACCCGCACGGCGTGCACATCCCGCAGCTCGCCCAGTCCCACACCCGCTCACCTGTGGCGTTGACTCGCCGTGCCCGTGACGCCGTCCCGCGTCCCGTGCACGCTGTACGCAGCTCTGAGTGTACCGACGGTATACGGCTCACATATGTGGCCGTTCGTCGTGCAGTGCCACACAGGTCTCCGGTGTCTCCGGAGTCTCCGACGCGGACTACATCTGTAATTGCTGTGCGCGGGCTGCAGCCGCCGACTGTACATGCACGTACAAGCAACCGTTCATGAGGCCACGAACGCGTGCGCGTAGTACTTCGCGTCGCAGTCGTGCTCCGACGCGTTCAGGTACTCGCGCGACCGCTTCTTCTCGTCCCACGCGTCCTGCAGCATGCGGGGCACGCTGCCGCCCTCGTCGCCACAGTCGAGGATCTCGGCCCACGCTTCGCCGCGCGTCTCGCGCGCCCGCGGCCAGGACTCTCCCATGGCGTCTCCCATGCTCCACTCGCCTTCTGTCCGCGGGAAGCACGAAGGCAGGAAGACAGAGATGCCGTCTGTCACATCTTCGCCGTCATAGTTCGAGCCGCCCATCAGAACGAGCCTATCTTCGGGGCTCAAAGCTTTGAGGAATGAAGGCCTCAGCTCGAGGTTGTACGCGAGGACCTGGGGCATCTGGTGGCCGTAGCACCTTGCGGACTGGTGGACGTTTCCATACTCAACAGCGTTTGAGATGCGCAGCAGTCGTGCCAACCCCGAGAGCTTGGAGAGGTCGTTGTCGCGGATGCGCTCGTGGCTGACCTTGGCGAAATCGAGGCCGGGCACCACAACGGCGTAGCCACGCCACGCGTATTTGGCGAGTCGGAACTCGTACGCGGCGCACACAGGCCACGCGTGCAGCGGGTTGAGGACGTTGGTGCAGGTCTTGAGCGCTCGCACGGCACGCGGAAGCGCCCACACGTCAGCGCCGTCGTAAGCCACGCACACGCGCAGTCGACATCGAACCCGAGAAGGACCTCCGCCGGCGAGTCGTAGAGCCGAAGCACAATCTGCACAGTCTGCAGAACGGAGCAGTGGCGCCGGCCGTGCTCTTGGGTCGTCATTCCCGACATTGGTCCCCAATTCACGTTTGATGCACGCGACACGTGCTGCACGAGGGTGATGACGCCGCGCCCGCGGCTGATCGACCAGCGCTCCTCGTCCGCCGCCACCGCGTCGTAGATGCCCTTGGCGAGGCTCGACGCCTCTGCCGGGGTGCACGTGTGCAGAAAGAGGTCGATGTCTGACGAAGGGCCGTACTTGTCGCCCAGTTCCGGCACCGCGCCGCCCAGCAGGCACGCGTCGCCGTGCGTGAGAGCGTGGAGCACGCTGCCGCCGGCCACGAGCACCTTGCCGCCAGCGAGGAGGGGCGCGAGACGGTTGAGCATGTTGGGATGCAGCTTGTTGAAGTTGGTCCGCCACTCCTCGAGCGACGGCACCGCGACCCGTGTGCCGCTCGCCACCTGCCCCTGCCAGTTGGAGGTGCGCCAGTGGTGCTGACGAGCCAGCTTCTGCAGCAGCAGCGGGAAGCCGTCTGGCTCAGGCGAGTACACGAGAGACGCAGCGATCGCATCCGCGCCGCCCTCGAACAGCGAGCGTAAGCCCTCGTGCAGCGACGGCCGGCCGTCCTCATCAGCGAGGAAGCGCGCTCGGATCTCGCTCTCAGCGCGGCGCATGCGGAGTAGGTCCGGAGAGAGCAGAGTCTCCATGTCGAGCGGCGGCGCCGTCAGCGCGCGTTGCAGCGTAGCGAGCGCGTAGAAGGCAGCCTCGGCCGCCGCCTCAGCTCGCGCGGCCGGGGCCTCGGGCGTGATGGCCGCGCCGGTGCGGAGGAAGTTGAGGATCAACCGGAAATGCGTCGGGTCCCGATCGATGAAGTACGAGCCGTCCGCCGCGGCCTCGACGCGGTGGCGGCCGGAGAACATCGCCTCGAGGAAGCCTCCACACCTGCACAGCGTCGACCGCGACGTCTTGAAGCGCGTGCCGCCGACGTCGAGTTCGATGACCGTCGGAAAGGACTGCACGTCCTTCATCGCGTCGCGCTCGGCTTGAAGCGCAGTCTTCTCTGCCTGCACCTCGGCAGCGGCAGCCTCGTGCGCCGCCTTGGCATTCGCATCGGCCGCGGCGGTCTTGTCGTCCGCCGCCTTGCTAGCGGCTGCCGCCTTGCTCTGCATCGCCGCGAGCGTTGTGACCTCTTCGCGCACGGCGTCGACTCGATGTGCTCAAGCCGCGACTGCATCTCGAGGCTGCCGCGCTCTGCGGCGGCGTCAGTGGTCCCGGTCTGCTCCATGCGGCGCGTCCAGTGGGCCTGGTAGTGGCAGAGGTGGCAGCTAGGGCTATGGATGAGCGATTAGTCGAGCGAGGAGCGAGTGAGCCGGGAGCGGCTTTGGGGGTCGTTTGTTTTCTTCTTTCCCAATAAGAAGTGGCCCCTCGCTTGGAATGGGACCGCCGCAAGCGGCGTGGCGTGGAGCGGTTGAGCATCCCTCCGGGGGCCCCTCTGCGCCGGGGAGGCGTTGTTGGAGGCTAGGACGCAAGCGTCCGTCGCCCTTTTCAAACTCGGGGCCCACTCCGCTACGCTCCGACCCGAATTTGGGAGGGCCTAAAAGTTTAAGGTGTTGCTGCGCAAAAGGGGTCGGACACAGGGCGCAGCTCATGCTAAGAGCCAGAAGGGGAGCTAGAGAGAACGACTACCCTGTCCCGTTATTGCGTACACCAACACCACAAAAGCTCTCTCTCTCTCTCCTGTCCTCAGACACTCCGGGGGTCCACAACTACCGTGTCCCGCGACTAGCTGCCACGTAAGCGACCGAGAGCGGATCTCCTCCTGGTCCTGCTCCGCAAGGAGGGTGGCCAAGGCTAAAGTCTTGCCGGAACCGCCGGGCGCGTTGACGACTTGGAGAAGGTCGCCCTTGTACTTGTACTTGTAGAGATGCTCGAGGGGGTGCTTTGTGGGGCGGTGCGCAGCCAGGCCAGCAGTGAGGGGAGGCGCACCCTCACTCTCCTCGGTTGCAGAGCTCGTCGGAGGCTGCGGCACGACGGGAGGGTCGCGATAGCAGTCCTCGGGCGAGCCGACGCGCATGTCCAACCGGCGCTGGGACTCGCTGTGACGGCAGACGCCGGCTGCCTCTAAGCGGCTTCTGCAGCGTCCTTCTTTGCCCGGTGCATGGGCTCGATCTGATTCCGCAGCGTGTCGTCCCCAGCGGCGGTGCTGCGCGGGAGGCGGCCGCGGGCACGCTGGGCTCGATCAGCGGCTTCCCCTCAAGTTGCTCCGAAAGCACGGATTTGGCGGACGTTCTTGTTTTCAATTTTACGGATGTCTTGCACCAGCTGAAGGCTTGCGTCCGTCCACGGCTCACATCACGGTCATAAATGTTTTCAAAAATCTCTCTCTCTAAATGTAAAACAAGAAGAAAAATCGCCCGCGGCCGCGAACGGATTAGAAAATGTTCGCTATTTCTTGGGCTATCACCACATCAGCGCTTTGATCCCAATCACGACACATGTGTGACTCGCCTAGTGTGGAGACGCCGTGTACCGTGGGGCCTTGTCTCCATTTATCGGAGGCACGCTCGCGCTGAGCAGCATTTCTTGGACTACGTTCGGCACGTTCGGCGTGGCTCACCCTCCATGCCGTGAACAGGCGCTTTATCCACCTCGTGAACTACCGTCGGGTACTTATTTTAAGACGAGGTAAACAGCAATAGATCCGGCCCTCAAGCGGCCTAATCGATACCCAGCCCTCACGGAATTGGTCCCTCGTTGTACAGCAATCGATCCTTCACAGTGCCCGTCCTGCCAACTTGCCGAGAATCGGTCCCCCAGGTCACCTGTGGCGCGAAGCTGATGTCTCCCGCCCTCGGCGCGCCCAACGCGCAGCGGCGGCAGACCACCCTCCGGTTCGAGGGGCGCCTGGGGCTGAGCGGGCTGCCTCCGCCAGAGTTTGGCTCGCCCACCGGCGGGCTGTCACCCTGCCACGGGTCGCAAGCCCTCTGCCGGCCGGAGCGCAGGCTGCGCGGGCTTCCAGCAATTGGTCCCTTGGCAAGCGCGAATCGGTCCCCCTGGCTCCAGGAACTGATCCGGCACTGCACCCGGATCTATTGCTGTTTACCTCGTCTTAAAATAAGTACCCGACGGTAGGAGGCGCGGAGTGATTTCTTGGGCTACCACCTTGGCTCGCCCCTCGGTCCTCTCGTCCTCCTCCGCCGCCGCCGCCGGCCTCTGCTCCCTCTCCTCTCCTCTCGCCGCTAGCCCTCGCCCGGCCATGGCCGCCATCTTCGGTAGCTTGCACAACGGCAGCCTTCCTTGGATCCACGACCGCTCCATCTTCACCGGCAACGCCACAGACATTGCGTGCGCACCGGATGCGCCACACTCTGGTCCGGGCCTGCTGCTCATGTACGGCACGGGCGGTGGGTGCCTGCTCAGCTTCCTCATGTGGGTGCTGTCGGGTCTGGGCGAGACGGCGAGCGGCACCAAGCCGATAGAGACCAACCACGTCGGCGCCTTCATCCTGATCCCGCCCTTTTATTTGGCGCTGGGCGCCATCATCGGCTGGAGAGTGGTCGACTGCACGCTCGGCTGCAGCGCGTGGGCGTCGTCTGCGCCGTCCATCTCCTTCTTCACCGCCAACATCCAGCGCGAGGGGTACATGATGCTCTTCATGACCCTCACGCTCACCGCGCTCATCTTCTTCAAGCGGATCGACAAGATGGCGCGCAGGAGGTACGTCGACGCCGCGAAGGGCGACGCGCACCCGTGGAGCCGCTCCTCGCTGGTGGGCGAGTGGCTGATGCGGTGCGGCTTCGTCCTCACCACCATCACGGGCATCATGCCCTCCCTCGCCTCCAACTGCCACCTGCAGCCCGCCTCGCGCTACGAGCGCTGCTGGGAGGAGGAGATGTCCAACCCGCACGGTGAGGCGCTGCCTGCTCCCTGCCGAGACACCGTCTAGACCGTTACAACTCATAGGCACAGCCCTCCCTTCGCCTCTCTGTGGCATCACACTGCCGCCGCCGCCGCCGGCTCGCCGCCGCCGCCGCCGTTCTCACCCAGCTCTCCGGCGATGCCTGCAGGCGCCGGGGTCGCGGCCGGCATCTTCCTCACTTTCTGCGGCTACCAGTTGCGAGCCATCGGACCGATCGCGATGCACAGCGGCGTCGAGGGCGCCTCGGCCTACGCCTACTACACCCTCGTCGTCTCCGAGCTCGCCTTCCTCTGCATGCCCGCCTCGCTAGATGCGCCGGCACACGCCCCTAGTGCTCCGGCTGCACTCCAGCGAGCGCTCGAGACCGACACGCGCTCGCACACTCTCTTCATCTCCCACCGCAGTTGGTTGCCCCCGCCAGCGCGCAGAGGACACGCCTCACCTCCCCCCCGGCTCTCCCGACGCAGGCTCGTCTTCTTCGCCTGCTGGCTGCACTTTCTCTACGCCGGCGGCCCAAACCCGCGGACGGTCGACGTCTGCCTGCTGCACACGACGCAGAGCGCCTGCACGGGCGAGGATCTGCCGCCGCAGCAGCAGCGGTGGGCCGACCAGCGGCCGGGAGGGTGGCAGTGCCGCTGGGACCCCGACACCGACTACTACCGCTACCCGTGCACGCGCCACGACTGCGACGCCGGAGGCCGGCTCGAGGGCAACAAGTACTCGGTCATCTTCGAGTACTTGGGCTTCCTCTACTGGTGCGTCGCGTGCGCGGGGATGAACGAGGCGATCGACGTGATGGACGACGTGCCGGCCACCCGCGCCGTCGCGCAGCGGAAGCGCGAGATGACGCGGCTCGCGGCGGCGGGCGACGCGGCGCTTCTCTAAGCGTCGCGGTTTAGGCCCGGGCCTGCACCCCCTCACTCTCCCAGGCCCATTTGTTTGAGCACGCGTGTTGCACACATACGGTGGTCACAGATTGTGCGCATGGAGCATGTGGCGGCTAATCCGTGTGCTGCTAGATTAAATTCATAATTTATGCATTATGGTAGAGGCCGGTAGTAGCCGGAAGAGGCATGGCGGAATGGCGCCGCCGCCGCGCGCGCGGCCGCACGCGCACCCCGCACGTGCACAAAAGGAAAAATCTCCCATGGTTTCTCCCCGAGGACCGGCAGAGGCGAGAGTTTCTCGGACGAACGAGCGGACGCGCAGAGCAGAGCTGACACGCACGTGCAGAGCACGGCCGAGTGTCATAGATTTTACCGCGATGACACCAATCTCTCCAAAGCCACTCTCTCACTCCTGATCAAGTCTCCTGCCGATCCTCCAGCTGTGCCACCGCCGGCCGTTGAGCCAGCCTCTGTGCGGCCTGAGAGGTGCCACGAGACTGTGCAACTTGGATCCGATTCGACCGTACAGCTTTGACGGTGGACATGAGAAGGACTCGATGGCCACGCCGTCTTGAATGATGTGGACGTGTGGGAGAAAGGCGATGCCGCACGACTTGAAGTGCGCCTTTGTGCTGCTCTCGTAGAGCTGCTCGTGCCACTCTACCTCTTCGTACATTGCCGCCATCCGCTCGAAGAGCGGCCGGGCAATCTTGCAGGCAGCGCACGTCTCTGAGGAGAACTCGACGATGGCGATGCGTCCCGTGCTTCGTGTGGCCTCACGCAGCGAGTGGTAGCCCGCGTCACTCGTGATCGGCTTGACCGACAGGAGGGCGCTCGCTGAGGGCGGGAACGCCAGCAGAAGCACGAATGAAGTCATTGGCGGACCGATAGTTTCTTTGGACTCACGGAGGATTGCTAACCAAAGAAAAATAGAGGGAGTGCTCCAAGGGATGGGGAGGACGGCACGCCGCCACCACACAGGGATTTTAAGGAGAGGGGTGTGATGCGCTAGCCGTCGCCCACCCTTGGGCGTCCGCCTCTTCCTATCTCTCTTCGCAGTCTCTCGCCGAGTCTCTCTGTTGTGCGAGGCGTGAACCGCGCCAAGGCGCCATTCGCTCTCACCTGGCAACCCTGTCTGCACGTCTCGCGCGCGCGTGAACAGGGCTCCAGGCCCCAAATGACGTGTGAGTATTAGAGGTGTTTGGTATTGCTAAAAATCTCTATTCTCTCTCTCTCTCTCTCCGATTCTCGCTGCAACCTTCATTCATGCCACCTGGCGGTCGTCCCACTCTCGTCGTTCTCTCTCTTGTCGCTTCTTCCTCTGTCGCGTCGCTCTCCTCTGCCTCGTTCTGCGACAGCGCCGCCGCCTGCCGCTCCCTTGCTCTCGGCTCTCGCGGCTTCTTTCGCCTTTCGGCGCAACTCTGCCCTCCTCGCGGCATATTTTGGCCCCTCGAGTTTATCGAGCTCTCCTCGCGCAAGGACGACTCTTCTGACGCCCACTCCGATCATTTCTTCATTTGTCGCCAACCAAGCAAACAAAAACACAGGGCTCCCGGCCCCAAATTACGTGTGAGTGTTAGAGTTGTTTGGTATTGCTAAAAATCTCTCTCTCTCTCCAACCAAGTCATATCGTTGTTCAGGTCCAAGAGGAGAGAGAAAGAAACTCTCTAGGTGCTACCCGTCGCCCACCCTAACCCCTAACCCGTCTGCCTCTTTCTATCTCAACCTTCCCTCAGAAAGAAAAAAGAGGCCCTAATATATATATGACGCCGTGCGCACTTCGCGACAGACACGACACCAGACACGACACCAAGCGATGTTGAATAACTCGCTCGGCTGTCCCCTCCAGGGCGGCCGCACCCTCCGATCGTCCCTGCTGCTCGAGGACGGCCGGCCACAGGAATGCGCGCGGCCCGTCCTCCGTGACGTCGCGTCCTCGTCTCTCACCGCCGTCGCGACCTTCTCTGCGGGAGGCCGGTCGCTGCGCAGTGGCAAGGCTGCTTTTCGGCAGCTGGACGAACTCGGCAAGCTCTTCTCGGATCACAGCGCATCCCTGGGCGGTCCTCGCATGCTTCTGGTCGGCAAGGGCACCCGGTGCGGCGTCCTCACCTCGCTGCGACACCACCTGCGTGCCGGCCGGGCGCACTGCATCGAAGGACCGAACGTGGGCGCGCGCGAGACGCACACCATCTGGCGCTTCTGCTTCGACTTTTACCGCCACCTGCCGCGCATCGCCCTCTTCGTGCAGGCCCTTCGACGCACCGTTACCCATGTCTCAGCCGCAGCGCCCGCGCTCACACCCGCAGTGGCCCTGCCTGCAGGACGACCCGCAGCTGCAAGTGCTCAAGCGGACGCTCGAGCAGCACGCCTTCTCCGCAGTCGGCTGGGCGCGCACCCTCGAGGCCAGCTTCGAGTCGCGAAAGGCGCGCCCGAAAGCACCGACGCGCTCTCAACACCCCTCGCGCATGGTGCCTCTCCCTCGACCACCTTTCTTCTCCATCGCCCTCCCAGGTCGCCGACCCCGCCGCCGCGGCCACGCCGTGGCTGCCTGCCGGCTGCGGCTGCGTCCCGGTCCGCGAGCCATTTGGCGCTCGCTCGTACGGCGGCTACCGGCCGCTCCACTGGTGGCTCGCCTCCTTCCTCCGCCCGTTTGCAAACGGCTCCGCGGCGATGCCCACGGCGCTGCACTGGCCGGCGATGGCGCAGTTTGCGATGCCGCGCGCGGCCATCCGCGGCCGGTGAGAGCGTCGCCCACGGGAGTAGCGAAGGGGCCCAGCCCCGATCCTTGCGTGCCGGCGCGTCCGCGACGCGACCTTGGACACGCGCCCCTCCGGCCTTGGACACGCGCCCCTCCGGCCTTCGACACGCGCCCCTCCGGCAGGACACGAGGCTGGATCGAGCTCAACGTCCACCTCTCCGAGGTGCCCGCCCCGCTCGCCCGCAACATCGCCCGCTTGCCCGGCATGAGCGACGACGGCCACCGGCGCAACGCAAAGTGGGCCAACTTCGGGCCAATGGTAGTGCACCTCGGCCCCGCACCCCGCCGCGCCGCCACACCAAAGGGCGGCGCATGCCTAAAAGCACGTTGTGCTACCGGCTACGCGGACAGCCGCGCCGGCATCAACGGGATGGACTTTGCGCAGCTGAGCGAGCGCTCCTGGTTCCAGGCGCCTCGCCCCTCACACCCTCCGCGCTCCGCTCACTGCCAACGCCCCACGCCCTGGCCCCACTCTCCTCACCGCCCCCGCAACTCCCTCCCACCCCCGCCCAACCCCGCCCCACCCCGCCAGGCCTTCGACCCCGCCCTCCCCGAGGCGCTGCCGCGGCACCGAGAGTGCTTCGAGCCCGCCGCCCTCGCGCTCGGCCCCGTCCGCTGCGCCGCCGCCGCCTGCCCCTTCACACCGCCAACGCCGGGCGGCTACAGCGGCGGCTGCGCGGCCAGCGACCAGGCCGGGCGGACGAGCCCCCCCTCCGAAGAGTGGTGGCCGACGCTGCTGCGCGAACCACGGCGCCGGTGCCAGGGCGGCGTGGCTGGCTGCCTCGTCGGGCCAGACGACGGGAGCGCCGCGTGGGCGCGAGACCCGCAACGAACGGTTTGACTTTTTTGGAGAGCCTTCACGTTGCAGAAAACTTGTTATTCACTTCTACGTAAGGCATGGACCTTTCTGACCGCACTGTCTCCGGGCGTGTCGACTGTCGTCCTCCAGAGAGAGATTTTAGCAATGCCAAAGCGGTCCAAACAACTCTATCTCTACCACGTTTCCGTGTCCCGGGCGTGGAGATGCGAGGGTCGCCCCCCCTTGCCCCACCACCTTGTGTGTGTGGAGACGTTTACCTTAGTCCTTACCTTACCTTACCACGTTTATCGTTTTTTGACTTTTTGTTTTTTGTCTTCCTTTGTACCAAGAGCAAGACTACCGCATACCACGATCTTCCATGGGCCATGGCAGGCATGTTCGTCGAGTCGTTGTTAATGAGCGCAATGAGCGAAGGAAAAAAACAGACGGCGGACTGTTCTACGAAAGAGCACAGCTAACGATGTCAGCTCGCTGCTGCATTTTCGCGGTGTTGATCGGCGCCGATGCCGCGGTTTCTCTGCGGCTTGCTCAGCCGGGGCTGCGAGCGCCCCGCCTCGCCTCGCCGCTGCGGATGATGTCCGGAGACGATTTTTACTTTGGCGAATCCGACGTCAAGGTTTCTGCGTCAACGACGGAAGCGGTGGAGGTGCCGCTCAGCCCCGCGTGGGATCGGTCCTCTGCCGCCGCGCCCGCCTCTGCTGCCGCGGGCGCATCGGACCCCGCGCTCCCACTCGTCCATCGGCCCCGCTCGGGGCGGCCGCTCTCGCCCGCGCCTCACGGCTCTCGCCCCGCGCCGTGACGTCGTCCCGCTCTGAGGCTGGCCGCGTCCGCCCGGCGCAGGAGGAGGAGCGCGAGCTGACGGAGAAGGAGAAGGAGATTGCACGGCTGCGCGCGGCGGAGGTCTTCATGCGCAAGGAGAATGGCGACGCCTCGTGCACTGTCTGCGGGTACAAATACAAAATGGTGCGCCGCGCGCATGCACACGCGCGCCCTCCGCCCCCGCAAGCGGCACCCGCCGCCTGCCCGATGCCACCTCGCACCCACGGTGCGCATCGGCGGCACGGCGGAGGCGGCACAGCATGCGAAGGTCTCTGATGGGCCGGCCACCAGAGATGTGGGGCATCGGCACAGATACGGACCACACACAGCGCGGGCTGCTCCAGCCCCCGTGCACACGCCTCCTGTCTACCGTACCACCAGTGCCGCTCTCCGCCACCGCCACACCCCCACCCCCACGGCCTCGACCCCCCGCCTTTGCCTCGCAGGCCACCGGCGCGGGCATGACCGCGCCGCCCAGCACGCCCTTCGACCTGCTCGGCGACTCGTGGACCTGCCCGCAGTGCAAGTCGCCAAAGGCGTTCTTCACGCCAGACACGGTCGAGATTGCAGGCCTGGAGGACACCCAGTCGCGCAGGACTGTGAACTCAACAGCTCTTGACGCGTTAATAGATTGAGATCGCCGGCTTTGAGGACAACCAATCGTACGGCTTTGGGACAAACACGTGGACAGAGTCGCAAAAGTCGAACGCAATCTTCGGCGGGTGAGCGGAGAGACCCTTTCCCCTCCCACGCCTCCACCCCGCCCGCCCACCCCTTTCCAATGCCGCCAGGCTCTTCTTCTTCTTCCTGCTGCTCCTGTCTGGGTACGCTCTCAACTGAGCGGCAGCCTCGCCTCGCATGCGACGTGGCTGCTCCCTTGCAGAGATTGTGTGTCCCTTGCATGTCCTTTTGCGTCCGGCCGCTGCCGGTACTATGCTGCGCGCCGTCTCGAGAGGTGGGAGGCGTCGCGTGATGAGTCCGTGACGTGGGGCGCCAGACCCCACGCCCCTTGCAATGTGGCGGATCTGTGTGTTCTTCCGGTGGTAGTAGGTGTAGCAGGGTTGCTCTCTTTGCGAAGAGCAACCCCCACACAGTCCACCAAAAAACAAACCCGGTCGCGTCCCGGGGGGTGCGACGTGAGCTCTCATCAACAATGGCGGCCTCCACTGGAACCTTCGCCGTCAAGGCTGGCATGGCCCAAATGCTCAAGGGCGGCGTCATCATGGACGTCGTCAACGTTGAGCAGGCTCGCATCGCCGAGGAGGCGGGCGCCTGCGCCGTCATGGCGCTCGAGCGCGTCCCGGCCGACATCCGGAAGGACGGTGAACCACTCTCCTCCCTGCTCCCATCAGCTCCCGCCCACCTGCTCTCGCTTACACATGCTCCTCTCTCCTCGCACCCGACGCCAGCGCCCGCTCCCTTCTCTACGACATCGCTTCATGCCGTGCCATGCAGGCGGTGTCGCGCGCATGTCGGACCCCAAGATGATCAAGGAGATCAAGGCGGCGGTGACCATCCCGGTGATGGCCAAGTCGCGGATCGGTCACTTCGTGGAGTGCCAGATCCTCCAGGAGATCGGCGCCGACTACATCGACGAGTCGGAGGTGCTCACGATGGCGGACGAGGACAACCACACAAACAAGCACAAGTTCACGGTGCCCTTCGTGTGCGGGTGCCGCAACCTGGGCGAGGCGCTGCGCCGCGTGGCGGAGGGCGCCGCCATGATCCGCACCAAGGGCGAGGCGGGCACCGGCAATGTGGTCGAGGCGCCTTGCCCTCTCCCTCTCCTCTGCGCCCTCGCCTCACCCTCGCCCTCGCCCTCGCCCTTGCCCTCGCCCTGCCTCGCCCCCCCCTTCCGGGACGCACGACTGAGACCCCCCCCACACACCCACACACAGGCGGTGCGGCACGCGCGCACCCTCCTCCGCGAGATCAAGAAGGTCCCGCCATGGTTGAGGACCCGGCCGAGGAGCCGGAGCCCTCCCGGAAGCTTCTCGGAACCCTCCCCGTAGGTCCAGTCGATGGACGAGGACGAGCTCTACACGTACGCGAAGGAGATTGGCGCGCCGCACCACCTCCTCAAGCAGACCGCCGAGGTTGGCCGCTTGCCCGTCGTCAACTTCGCGGCGGGCGGCGTCGCGACGCCTGCCGACGCCGCGCTGATGATGCAGCTCGGTGCGCGGCGCCGCTGCCAGCCAGCCAGCCTGCCAGCCTGCCTGCCAGCCTGCCTGCCTGTCCCTGCCTGCCGACCCTCGCGTGCCCGGCCCCGTGCGGGACTTGGCTCAGGGCCTCCCCCCGACCCCTCCGCAGGCATGGACGGCGTCTTTGTCGGCTCCGGCATCTTCAAGTCGGACAACCCCGCCAAGCGCGCGCGCGCCATCGTCGAGGCGGTGGCAAACTACAACGACCCGAAGGTGCTCGCGCGCGTGTCGGAGGACCTCGGCGCTCCGATGGTCGGCATCAACTGCGAGGACATGACCGTCAGCTACGCGGCGCGCGAGGGCGGCAACAACGCCGCCGCGCCCGCCGCCGCCAACGGCAAGTCGCCCCACGGCACCTGGTGAGGGGCGGAAAAAAAAGGAGGGCGGAGCGCGGGAGCATCGTTGCTCTTCCCTCCCTCCCGCCCTCCTTTTCTCCGACCTTCTAGCGCGCGTCCGCGATAAGTACTAAGACGTATGAGAGCCAGAGGCTGCAGAGCGAGATGTGTATGTTGAGTGTGCACTTGATGGGATGAGCCACGGCGCGCGAGCGTGGCGCGTGCCGGCGTCCACTCTGTACGCCGGAATGTTATCTATTACAAATCGTCTTGCGCGGCCCGGCGGGCGCAAGCTCGAAGCTGCGACGCGTGGCACGGACCACGGTGCGAGCAGCAGGTGTGCACACTCCAGTCTCCACACATACGTCAGTACGACGACTCTCGAGCTCTGGACAACTGCGAACTGGAGCGTGGAGGGTCGTCTGAGTACTGAGATAGATTAGCTCACGACCTCACGGCCCTCAGCTCACGTCGGCCGCGCGGACCCCATGCCCCCCAGCGAGACCCCCGCGCCCAAGCTAGTGCTAGAGGGGGCTAGAGCGTAGTCCGTAGAGGGCGGGCGGCAACGAAGGCCAAGCGGCCGGGCAAGCCCCCCCATCGCCCATGGCCACCCCCCGGAACGGCGGACTCCAAGAAGCACACACAGACACTGCGAGGGGCGCCCTTCACACAATATCACACACCCACAGATACAAGAAGAGGGAAGGGGCCAGGGCGAGCGGCACGGCGGGTATCAGACCAGCGCGGCCTTGATACCGGCGCGGTTGGGGTGCTCGAGCAGCATCGCGCAAGTCACATTGCCGTTTGCGAGAGCGGCCGAGATAGGGGCGGCGCCCGACTGCGGGTGCAGGATGTCGGTGCGCGCGCCGGCGGCGAGGAGGAGGCGCACGCAGGCCGCCGAACCGAGGTCGACGGCGGCGTGGAGCGCGGACCAGCCGACGTTGCCGCTGGCGGAAAGCGGCGGCGGGTCGGGCGTGGCCTTGGCCTCGAGCAGCAGCTGCATCACGCGGGAGTGGCCTCCGGCGGCGGCGAGCAGCAGCGGAGAGCAGCCCGGCCGGCCGCCGGGCACCGCGCCCGCCGCAGAGACGACGTTCGGCGTCGCCTTCGCGCCGATCAGCGAGGCGACGGCGCGCTGCTGCCCCTCCTGCGCCGCAAACATGAGCAAGTTCCGCCCCGTCATCGGCTCGACGTTGTCCACGGCGCCGCCCGCAGAGAGCCACGCGGCCAGCCCCTCCTCCCACTCGGAGTCAACCTCGGGCTGCTTACCGTCCGGACCGCCGAGCCGCGTGATCAGCTCCGGAGGCGGCGCGGAGCGCGCGGGCGCAGCGGCGGCGGAGGGGGGCTTCTCGGCCGAGTGGGGCTTGGCCGGAGAGGCTGCCCGCTCGCCGCCCGAAGCCGCGGCGTCCCCCTTTCGGGCGGGCTTGCCGCCCCCCCTCTTGCCTCCCTCCTTGCCTCCCTCCTTGCCTCCCTCCTTGCCTCCCTCCTTCCCCGCGTCCTTGGCGGCCGCCTGCTTGCTTGCGGCGGCGGCGCGCTTGCCGCCCCGCAGCAGCACCGCCACCGCAGCGTGGCCACCCTCCTCCGCCAGCTGCAGCGCCGAGCGGCCGCCCGTGTCGCGCGCCTCGCGTCTCGCCCCTAGGAGGAACGGATGAGGATCAATCACAACCTGCTTCTCCAGGCACCGCACGCCTCGCGCCCCGCGCGCCCGCGCGCAGCAGCGCACTCACGACGCCAGGCCGACCGTTCATCGCCGCGGTGAGCAGCGGGGTGCGCCCGTCGTCGTCGCTCGCCTCGATCGCGGCGCCCGCCTTGATAAGCGCCTCGGCGCAGCCCTCGTCGCCGTCCGCCGCCGCGAGGTGAAGCAGCGACCCCCGCCTCCCCGCCCTGCACGCGTCGGCGCTGCCGCCCTGCTGCAGCCACGTGCGGACGAGGTCGGCGAGGCCGGCGCCCCGCAGCAGCTCGGCGGGCAGCACCGCGGGCGCCTTGCGCGCCTGCTGCGCGATGGCGGCAGAGCGAGCCGTGCCTAGCCGTACCAACGCACCAGCTCTCGGCGAATACAGCTTGGGGGAGTCCTGCAGCTTGAGGGAGTCCGGCCTGCAGCTTGGGGGAGTCCAGCCAAGGCGCGAGAGGGCTGGTTGTGGTGGAAGAGTGTGTCCTCCGCTGTGTAGTCCGCATCTAGACAGCCGTGCTGGTCAGCTGCGCGACGGCGGGGCCCAGCTGCAGGGCGAGCTCGTGCGCCGCCGCCGACGAGAGCCAACGCAGGCCGGCCGCCTGCTGCGGGCTGGCCGCCTGCTGGCCGGCCGCCTGCTGGTAGCACGGGCACGTCAACAAGGGAGTCAGGCACGGGAGCAGCACCCAGCAACAGGTGCCCCCACCTGAGTAGGAGGCGTCGGAGGCGCGCCGCCGCCCTCGCCGCCGCCCTCGGACTCGGCCTCAGCCTCCGCGGGCTCGCCGAGCAGCTGCAGCACGCCGGCGTGGCCCGCCTGGTCAATCAGTGGCACTCATGATTCACACCCTGCTGGCTGATGAGCAGCAGCAGCAGGCCGGCGGCGCGACGCCTTTGCTGCGATGGCGGCGGCGGCGAGGCCGATGCCAGGGTGGACGAGACCAGCGCTCGCGCCTGCAGGGGAAGGGGGGGGGAGAGGGGTGTGGCGGGGGCGAGGCAAGCGCAGGAGGCGTCTCGGAGGCGTCTCGGAGGCGTGTGTAAGAAGTGCCCCGGGGGGCTGTAAGCGGGTCTCGCCTCGCTCGAGCAGCGTGCGAACAACCTCGACGTGGCCTTGGAAGGCGGCGAGGTGGAGGGCGGAGCCGCCTAGGGACGTGTCGCGGACGTGGCCTCGACGTGCCCTCGGGGAGGCGGCGAGGCGGGCGGGCGGCCGCCGCGCGGGTCGGTGGCATCGGGCGCTGCTCCAGCCTCGAGCAAGGCGGCGGCGGCGGCGGAGCGGCCCCGCAGGGCGGCGAGCATCAGCGGCGTGCAGCCTACGCGGCGCGGCGCGGACATGTTATTCGCACACCGCCCGCGGGCGGTACGCCGCCGCTGCTGCGACGAGGCTGCCGTGCTCGTCTCGCGCGTCGAGGGAGGCGCCAGCGGCGACGAGAGGAGGGACGAGCGCTGCGCCGCGGGGGCCGTGCGCCGCCGCCATGAGCAGGGTGCGGCCCTGCGGCGCGGGGTGGGGGCGGGCGGACGGCCTTATCGCAGGCGCGCAAGGGGGAGAGGGCAGAGAGGGCAAGAGAGGGCAGAGAGGGCAAGAGAGGGCAGAGAGGGCAAGAGAGGGCAGAGAGGGCAAGAGAGGGCAAGGGAGGGCAAGAGAGGGCAGAGAGGGCAAGGCGAGACGCTGCACGGGGAAGGGAGTGGGAGGGGGCAAGAGGAGGCCGCGCGCCGACGCGTCGACGGCCTCGATGTTACGGCCGTGCTGGCGCAGGTACGCCTCCACCGCCTCCACCTCTCCCGACGCCGCCGCGGCTCGCACCTTCTCCGGGAGCTGCGTGCTCTCCGCCGCCCCGCAGCCGCCGCTGTGGGCGTGTGCGTGGGCGTGCGCGTGCGAGTCTCTCCCCTCGGGCGGCGGCTCGTCCCAGCGCGACTCCTTGGTCACCGGGTGGAACCAGTACGTCTCGCCGTTCGGCGTCTTTGCCTTGCGCCACGCCACCTCAGACGGCTCCGGCGGCGGCGGGACGAGCATCGTCCCCATCGCGTCTGCCGATGCGGCGAAGGCGGGCTGCCCCTCGAGCTGTGGCGCCGCCTCGCGGATGCACTGGCCCGAATCGTTCGGCGCGTAGATGAGCGAGCCGTCCTGCAGCCGCACCTGGTACGGCGCGTACCGGCCTTCGGGCCAGTGCGGCGCCCGCCACCAGCGCGCCGTGACGACGCCGAGCAGCCACTGGCCCGGCCGCTGCGCATCCGGCTGCCACCAGCACTCGACGTGGTCGCCGATCGCGTACGTCAGCTGCGGGCGGTTCTTCGCGTCCGAGGGGGTGGGCATGCCGAGGTGTGGCTCGGACTGCAGCCTTGCAGCTGTATGTTTGCTTCAAGAAAAAGTAACCCCTCGGCATGGGACCGCCGCAAGCGGCGTGGCGTGGAGCGGTTGCGCATCCCTCCGGGGGCCCCTCTGCGCCGGGGAGGCGTTGTTGGAGGCTAGGACGCAAGCGTCCGTCGCCCTTTTCAAACTCGGGGCCCACTCCGCTACGCTCCGACCCGAATTTGGAGGGCCTAAAAGTTTAAGGTGTTGCTGCGCAAAAGGGGTCGGACACAGGGCGCAGCTCATGCTAAGAGCCAGAAGGGGAGCTAGAGAGAACGACTACCCTGTCCCGTTATTGCGTACACCAACACCACAAAAGCTCTCTCTCTCCTGTCCTCAGACACTCCGGGGGTCCACAACTACCGTGTCCCTCGACTAGCTGCCACGTTGCCGACCGAGAGCGGATCTCCTCCTGCTCCGCAAGGAGGGTGGCCAAGGCTAAAGTCTTGCCGGAGCCGCCGGGCGCGTTGACGACTTGGAGAAGGTCGCCCTTGTACTTGTACTTGTAGAGATGCTCGAGGGGGTGCTTTGTGGGGCGGTGCGCAGCCAGGCCAGCAGTGAGGGGAGGCGCACCCTCACTCTCCTCGGTTGCAGAGCTCGTCGGAGGCTGCGGCACGACGGGAGGGTCGCGATAGCAGTCCTCGGGCGAGCCGACGCGCATGTCCAACCAGCGCTGGGACTCGTTGTGACGGCAGACGCCGGCTGCCTCTCCAACCGCTTCTGCAGCGTCCTTCTTTGCCCGGTGCATGGGCTCGATCCGATTCCGCAGCGTGTCGTCCCCAGCGGTGGTGCTGCGCGGGAGGCGGCCGCGGGCACGCTGGGCTCGATCAGCGGCTTTCCCCGATTTGGCGGACGTTGTTGGCTTCATTTTTATCTAATTTTACGGATGTCTTGGCACCAGCTGAAGGCTTGCACGGCTCACATCGGGTCGGATTTGCGCACGGTATTCGGATTTTGCTATTTGTTCGTGTGGGGGTATATTGCAGATTTGTCAATGGTACCGCGTCTGCGACGCGGGCGCCTTGCGGGCAGAGCCCTTAGCCACCCTTTACATCTTGCGCGGTCAAAACATGTAACATCAAGATTTCGACCTTTTAGGTGCGGTGAAAAAGAGACGCCGTCTGTCAACCCGTCATGCGGCAGGTGGCTTGCTTTGGCTCGCTGCCACCGCGGTGGCTCACCAAGGACTTTTCAGCGTGCTGCGTCATCACCGCGCGGCGCGCAAGCCACGCCTCACCCGGGCAAAAAGAACGACCGCGCGCCGCCGCCGCCCGCCTCGCCGCGCCGCGCCGCCCCGCGCCTCGCCTCGCCTCGCCTTGCAGCAGCGCACGCGCACACGCACCCACGCGCCCGCGCTCGCTCCGCGAGAGCGAAGCAACCCTCCAAGCGAGTTCCGAACCGGGAGCCAAAAGGTCCCGGCTCGAACCGCGAACCGGTTCGACCACCGCCGCTGGCGGTTCTTGCAAAGGCATCAAAGGCAGTGCCTGATATAACGTGAAATAGTACGAGGCCTTGCAAGAGGGAGGAGGGGAGAAGAGCCCAGGGTGGGGAGAGGAGAAGAGCCCAGGGAGGGGGGAGGAGAAGAGCCCAAGGCGGCCTCCCTCTCCCTCCCCTCCCACCGGGCCTCCCTCTCCCTCTCCTCCCACCGGGCCTCCCTCTCCCCCTCCTCCCGCCAAAAGCACCGACAGTCTCGAGGGGCCAGCCGCTGGAAGGGGCAAGCCAGCGGCACGAGGGCTTCAGCCACACAGCTACCATGGGAACGCGACCCACACAAAGCACCAAAGTTAGGCATACCCCCCGGCGCAGTGTCCCCCGCTATGTGTCGCCGTTTGTCGGGGCACGCTATCCTGTGCAGTCAGGGGCTCAGGGCAAGTGGGGGCGGGGCGGACAGCCCAGGAGCGTGCCCTGGGATCTCTCCGCCCAGTCCGGGGGTGCGTCGAACCTTCCATCACCCTGTCGGAAGCGGCGTGCCGGTGGAGGCACGTCCGGGTGTTGGAAGTAAAGATATATTACTTTTTCGACCTTTTAGGTGCGCTCACCCTCCCCCTCAGCCTGCTATCGGAACTCGCCAAATCCCGCCACCGGCGTGTCGCTTGCCAAGTCCCGCCACCGGCGTGTCGGTTCGACATTGCTCCCGTCAAGTTCGATGCTGTCGCCCGACTCCACCTTATTCCTGCCCATGGCGCCCTCTCGGGCACCGGCGCTCCACGTCACCGCCGCCGCGCCCCACGTCGCCCGCAGCCTCGCGGCGTCCCACGCCACAAGCAGCGTCACGCCCGCCAGGCCGAGGCAGCCGAGTGTCACCACCGTCGTGAAGACTAGCTCGGCGCCGACGACGTGGAGCACCGCGACGAGCGCGACCAAGCACGCCACAATCGCAGACCAGACGCCGAGCCGGACCCGCAGCAGCCAGCGCAGCGCGGGCAGCGGCTCGTTCCGCCGCCGCGCGAACGCGCGCTCCCCGCTCGAGAAGTGCGCCTCGAACACGTCCGTGGCGCGGTGGCCAGGCAGCCGCACCTGTCGGCCTGTCAGCGGGTCTGTCGCCAAGTACGGCGGCGGCGCTGCCGCCTCCGAGTCGGCCTCGCCCACCGCCCCTCCCGCCTCCGCCCCTCCCGCCTCCGCCCCTCCCGCCTCCGCCCCTCCCGCCTCCGCCCCTCCCGCCACCGCCTCTGCCGCCTCCGAGCAAGCGGCGGGGCGCGCGGCCGCCGCCTCTGCCGCCTCGCGCGCGCGCAGCTGGGCGACGATCGCGCGGTGCGAATGCGACGAGATGGGCAGCTTCCAGGCCTACATGGAAGGTGCCGGGCGGGTTCCGGGAAGGCTCCGAGTGGGCTGCGAGATGGGGATCTGGCCGCGCCGGGATCGCAGCCAGCAAGTAGCACGCGGCCGGCACGGCGAGGAAGAAGACGCGGAAGGACCACTGCACGCCCTCCGGCTGCACGGTGCACGGCGCGGCCCTGTCTGGCTCCCCGTAGAGCAGCGTTGCGCCGAAGCCGTCGGTGCAGGCGTACCTAGAGCTCCGAGGAAGGGTCGAGGAGGGGCCAAGGAGAGTGCGGCGTAGCCCAGCGGCGCGGGCGTGCCCGACGTCGGCGGGGCAGCTCCAGCGCAAGTAGTCCGCGTCGCACTTGGCGCCGCAGCCGCAGGAGCAGCCGCCCAGGCTCTGGAAGCCCGCAAAGTAGGCGACTAGCGACGGGACCACGCCGCCGACGATCTCGGCATACTGCTGGAGGTTGGACTCGACGACCGTATACAGTCCCTCGGAACGCAGCCCGGTGTGCAGCTCGTCGTAGTCGATGATGTCTGCGAGGAGTGCGTCGGGCAGCACGTACGACGCGGCCATCCCGAACCCGACGCAAGCGCAGAGGATGTAGAGCGGCCCGTCCGCCATCGCGCCGGGAGGGATGGCAAAGGCGACTGCGAAGAGGAGGGCCTCGACCTGTAGGGCGGCTCTGCGAAGGCTCAGAGGGGCGAGGCGAGGAGCCGACTGGCAAGCGGAGGGAGTCGACCACGCAAGTGGTGGCGAGAACCTCCTTCTTGCCTAATGAGACGGTGGAGCACGCGTGCGTAGCTGGAGAGGCGCCAGGCGGCGGCGAGCAAACCCTCTTCTGCCCCATCGGCGCGCCGCGGAGATGAGCAGCGGAATGGCACCTGCTCGCACCGCGCGGGAGGGGCGGGTGGGAGGAGCGGGGGGTCAGCGAGAGAAGGGTGGTGGGGGGCGGGGGGGGGGCACCGAAGACGCAGAGCAGGACGATTGCGAAGGCGACGTAGTAGGTAGCGTTGAAGTCCTCGATCCGCATCGAGTACTTGATGTAGTCGATGATCAAGTTTGCGGGCAGCAGCGACGCGATCGTCATCGGCACCTTGAAGATGAGGTACTGCCGGTACGGCCCGTTAGCAAGCAGCTGCCGCACCGCAGGCACCATCGGCAGCGGCGCGTGCTTGGGCGGCCTCAGCGGCCTGCGTCACACCAGAGGGCGCGTCGCGTGAGTTGGCACGGGTCCGCGGGAATGGCGAGCCTGAGGGGGGCGAGTGCGACGGGGCACAGCCGCGTGTCTTGTCGGGTGCAGTCGGAAGAGAGGCCGAGAGGGTACAGCTGTCGTGCGCATCTACGCTGCGCGGGCCGCTCAGCGACAGAGCGCAGCAGCAGTGCGAAGCAGAGGCCGAGCAGCGCTGAGTATGCGACCGCCTGCAGCCGCACCTGCATCAGGACGTCGGTCTCGAAGGCCAAGGAGACGCCTGCAGGGGTCGAGGCGAGGTGCGAGCAGCGGTCGAGGGCGGTCTCGCCTCGCGGGCCGCGGTGCGCCTAGCCCGACCCCGATCTGCAGCAGGTAGCCCATGAACTGGAAGGCCGTCTTGACGCCGAAGAGGCGCGCCTGCGGGAGCGCTTCAGAGGAGGCTCAGAGGAGGCGTCAAGAGGGCCGTCCGACGCCGACCAGCCGCGCCCGCTCGTGGTAGTCCGAGGTTAGCTCCATGCCGAGCGCGTCGTACCTGTTCACAGCTGCAGCCGTGAAGGGACGCGGCGTGACGGGCTCCCCCCCCCCAGGCGGCGTCTCGCGCGGGATCAGACTGCTCGTCCAGCCGCTCAGGTACCTAGGGGGAAAGCTCCGAGACGGTGCAGGGAGGGTTGCCGGGGAGGCTCCAGGCTACCGGCTGTCGGGCGCCACAAAAAGTAGAGGACACCAAAGTAGGCGCTGAGCGAAGCGGGGGCGGCGGCCGCCACGCCGTCCGCGTTGCCGTCCGTCGCGTTCCACGGGCGCAGCGTCGACGACGCGACGGCAGCGTCGATGCACGCCTTCAGCTCGACGCAGCTGCTGCGGTTCGAGCTGTCCACGAGGGCAGCGCACGCCTCCGACACTGTGGTGACGGTCGAATTTCCGTCGGCGCTGTGCGGGCGCGAGAAGAACCAGCCCGGCGACCCGAGCAGCAGCGTGCAAATCATGAAGACTGGGCTGCAGAGAGCGATGAACGGCTTCCGGCGGCCCCAGCGCGTGCGCGTCGCGTCAGACAGCTTGCCAAGCATGAAACCCAGAAGGAAGTCGGCCGACTTGCAGAGAGACACGATCATCGCCTGCGCGGCGATCGTCATGCCCAGCGCATCGCGGTACACTGTAATCCGCGCCGGGCGGATGAGTAGGTCAATGGCGGAGAAGGGCATGCGTGGCGCGGAGTACGCAGCGATGGTTCCGCACGCGAGCCGCTTCTCTGTGTTGGCGACGAGGTTGGCACTGATTTGCGACGCTGGCGACGCTGGCGACTGCATCATTACAGCTTCCATTCGCGAATGGGCAGCGAGTGGCGCACAACGAGCGAGAGCACCTTCCGGCCCTTGCGGCCACGTGTATATTATTTTTGCTTGGCCGGCCCTCATGCTGAAATTCTGCAAAAACCTGACCGGCCCCTGCCCTGCCCCTACCTACCTACCTACCTACCTACCTTACTTATGGGAAACTAAAAAAGAAATCACCGGATGGGTGAAGGTGGGGTACTATACCAACTAAAGTGATGGCTGGTGGTACTATCCTGCAACCACAGTCCTTCCTGTGACATGGCAGGCCACTCTTAAGCCCTACAAGCACCAGATCAACGACTTGGGGAGGGTTGACATCGTGATTTGGCCGGAAAAATTCTTTTTCTGCTGTGAAAATTCCGGCGTGAAGAGAGGGAAAAACCCGACGGGAGGGCCCAGACCCTACCTACCTACCCCGGCATGAGGGCCGCCCAAGCAAAAATAATATACACGTGTTGCGGCCAGGCTTTTGCACGAGTGAAAAGAATTCTTAAGACGCAAGCCTCTCTCGAGTGAAAAGAAGGGAAACACTACACGCTCCCCTCCGTGTCGCGATAAACTGCGGAGAGAGATAGGAAGTGGTAGACGCCCGAGGGTAGGCGACGGCTAACACCACACTTCTCCCCTAAAATCCCTGTGTGGTGGCGGCGTACCGTCCTCCCATCCCTCCCTTGGGTTGTCTGTTTTCTTTCTTTCTTTTTGTCGCGATGCTGCTCCCGTTCCCCTGTGTCCCTGATCGTCCTTACAAGATCCTGCTCGCGCAGGTGGGGACCCTGTCCTTCTCCCACCCCTTGTTTGGTGTGTCCGTTTTATTTATTTATACCTGCACGCTGCCCGCACTCACGGACTCCATACCCGAAAGAAAGAGAGGGGAGCTCGCAGGAGAGGTGACGAGAGAACTACAGGTAGTGGGGAAGGCAGCCTCGATCGCCATACTGACATGGATGCGAAACAACGACAAGACCAAGGCACGGGCAGAGGAGCGAGAGAAGAATATAGGGTGGATAAAGCGCCTGTTCACGGCATGGAGGGTGAGCCACGCTGAACGCAAGGAAGCCGGAGAAGACGACTCTCCGAGGAGGACGAAACACCAGTGGTAATCCCGTCGTCAGCTGTAACGATGCACCCGAAGGGGACCCCAGCGCCAACATCATCGGTGGAGGTACAAGTGTCCGAAGAGAGAGTGGACCTGAGCAACGATATGACTGGGCGGCAAATGATCGCAGTGGGCGTCTGAAGAGTCATCCTTGCGCGAGGAGAGCTCGATAAACTCGAGGGGCCAGGATATGCCGCGAGGAGGGCAGAGTTACGCCGAGAGGCGAGAGCAAGGGATCGGCAGGCAGCGGCGTCGTCGCAGAACGAGGCAGAGGGGAGCGAAGCGACAGAGGAAGAAGCGACAAGAGAGAGAACGACGAGAGTGGGAAGACCGCGAGGTGGCATGAAGGCCTTGCAGCGAGAATCGGAGAGGGACTGCGAAGAGAGATAGGAAGAGGCAGACGCCCAAGGGTGGGCGACGGCTAGCGCACCACACCCCTCTTCTTAAAATCCCTGTGTGGTGGCGGCGTGCCGTCCTCCCATCCCTCCCTTGGATTGTCTGTTTTCAGTGCACGGTGGGTCCCCTCAATCGGCCACAAATGTGTGAAGGGGAAGAGGGAGGCGTATGTGAAGAGCTCTGCGCCTGCTATTCTCCGAGTACGACATGCTGTCGGCCTGGAGGCCCATCTCTCCCATGTCCATCGTCCCGTTGTGGCTTGATCCCAGCGCCTTCGCCGTCATGGTACCTTTGGGAAAGGTCGGCAGTGGTTGGCGAGGGAGTCAATCCCCCCCCGTTCATGTGCCAAAGATTGCCGACCCGGCTGTTATCACTGTTAGCCAGAGTCACTCAGGCCCACACCGATACCTCGTCCGTCGTCTGCTCCCGCTCGGCTTCAACGCCCTCTACAACAGGAAAGCACGCCGTCCGTGCTCCACGTCAAAACTGCTGGCGTCATTCTCCGGCTACCCGCGCGAGATGTGATCGGCGCCAGGGCCAGGAGGTTTGCGCGTTACGCGTTTGACTTGGGGCGGCGTGCGGCCCGCGAAAAGACTGTCACGCAAACTTTTACTCTTTTGCTTCGGTCTTCATGCTGCGAATCAGAAAACTTAAAAGAAAACCGACGGCGAATCCTAGAGTAGACAGAAGCACAGGTGTGTGCGGCTAGAGAGGCCGGAACCTCATGAACACTGAGCGTCCAAGTGGAAGTGCTGCGCGAGAAGGGAGGCGTTCAGGCTCTTGCGCGCGCGTCTCACAGCAGCGCCCGCCGGGGTTTCCTGCAGCGCGAGCGAGTCTATCCGAATCCGGGACGGCTCGTCTTCCGGGCATTTGCTCTTGCGCCCTTTTGTGGAACACGCGCGGCGCCGGTGCGTGATGTGAAGCTCGCACGCCATCCCGGGATGCACAATGAGGTTGAATGTGGTAGAGGCGGAGACGGTGACGTTGCCCAGGTGCCTGCTCCCCGTCTCCACATGAGGGAACGGGTGAAGATACTGAAGGGGCTTGTAGACTTGATTCATGAAGCATTCGCAGCCGCTGCACTCAATCTCAAATGCACCGAACCCCGGCCGGACGTAGGAGGACAGGTACCCGAGCGTGCCCTGCATCCATGTGCAGTTCGCTCGAGAGGGAGGGCTCGGCAGCGGCCCGAGACGAAGCGTCTCTCCGACTCGAGTGCTCTCAATCCCGACCTTTGCCACGCGCTTCGCTTTACCGTCGTCGACAAACCTCCAGCTCGTCCCATCGATCGAGCCAGACAGGGGCCAGGCGCCTCGAATGCCCGCCTTTGTGAAGCTCGGCTTGGTGAAGCAAACCTCCCATGGCTTCCCGGTGGGCTCCCGTGGGGCCACCTCAGGCACGACGAGGGAGCCATTGGGTTGCCCGTTGCACAGCTCATCCACCAGCCTCTTGCAGATGAAGCGGGCGGAAGCCGCAGCGATGATGGCGTGGGCTATGGGGGACGGGTGGACCTTGTCGGCCCCGCCATTTGCGTAGAAGAACTTGAGCGGCGTGCCGTCTGCCACCAGGCTCTGCATGGTGGGTCTCAGCGACATGATGTCTGCCTGCTCGGTCGTCGCGGCCATCCGGATCAGCGCTGGAGCAGGGACGGCGTTTTTGAACTTGGCATCCTTGGAGCTCGTGTGCTCCATGTTTTCCCAGACGATGAAAGCCACGGCCGCACGAGGGGCCACTCTGCGGATGGACTGAATCAGCGGACTCAGGCTCTCGCACCACAGGTTGCAAGCCACCTCGATCAGAACCAGGTCTGCGTCCGCGGGCACATGCGCCTCGGTGCAGAGAGCAAAGGAGCACGCGGAGGCGGCATTCTTGAAGGAGATCGACAGCCGAACCTCGATCCGCTCGTCGAGCGCGCGGCTGAGGACGGTCTCGAGCTCATCGTGGACGCGCCGGCCCCACGACCGAGTGATGTCGCAGATGGGTGAGCGGCGCTCGCCCGCCGAGGCGTTCCACGGCTCCGAAGCCCCACAGCCCGAGGTTGGCGAGACGCCGACGATGGCGACGTTCAAGCGCGACTGTGTAGCAAGGCGTTGCGACACTGCCGCCCACCTCGGATCCCACGCCGCGACCGATTTCTCGATGGGCTGCTGCCATCTCAAGCTGCTGGGGATGCTGAGCTCCGCGCGGGGGAGCGGCTGCAAGATGATCGCGTGGCCGTTGGCAGTACAATGAGTCAGCGTCCTCTTCGGGAGGTCGCCGGTCCAATCCCATGGTGGCCGCTCGGTAGAGGAGATATTTTGGACGACGCCACACAGCCGCGCGCTTCGTGGGCTCGGGCTCGGGCCAATAGCCGCCGGCACCTCGTCTGACAGCTGCCCCTCGTCGCCCTTTGAGCACTCGCTGCAGTCACGGCACTCCTTCAGATCGCAGGTCGTCACGCCACACCATGGCTTACACGCCCTCGATGAGGCCAGCTTCCGCGTCTCTTTTTGTGGTTGCGTGTGGCCACGAGCCACCCGCTCCTGCCGGCGGAGCTTGATCGGCTTGGACGAGGCCTTGTTTACCTGGCCCCGGAACTCCTGCGATGGCGCTGCCCGGAGGTTGCCTCTGACGGCAAAGAGCAGCGCGTACACCACAATGCAGGCGAACAGCCACTTGAGCAGGCGCCTCACGTCGACCGTGACCGTGGTGGTGGTGAGCGAGTCGGACTGCAGCAGCGGCCGCCGCTGGACAACAATGCTGAGCGAGCGGCGCGGAGCGCTGAGCTGCACCTCCTTCATCGAATCTCTCAGCGCGTCGTCCGGATCTTCAGTCGCCACTGGCCCGTCCATGCGGAAGCTGATGCGGGGGAGATATGGCCCGCTCCCCGTCGAGCTCACGCTGGTGATTCTCACAAGGCTGGCCTGCCGCCGAGAGCTGCCGCGGCGAGCGGGCGTCGACTCGCCAAAACTGGCTTCGCCATTCGATATTGCGCCGGTACTCGATCCGCGGCGCCGGAGGTCAACGTCTTCGTACGCGGAAGCAGCCATAGTACGATGTCTTCCAGCCCGGACTCCAGCTCCAGCCGGCCGCTCGCTCAAGGGGAACGCGGGACGCACGAGTTTACTTGTGATAGGTAGTAGCCATGCAACGAGGAAAAGAAAGTTTTCCGCGGCTGTGCGCCAATGGGCGCGATTAGATGAATTTTCTTTCTTCGCTCGCCCGGACTCCAGCCGGACAAACAAAACAAAATCTCTCTCTCTCTCCCAGCCGGACTCCAGCCGACGTTCTCCCATCCCTCCTTTGGGTTGTCTGTTTTCTTTCTTTCTTTCCAGCCGGCCGCTCGGCTCAAGGGGAACGCGCGGACGCACGAGTTTACCTGTAATAGAGCTCTAGGTAGTTAGCCCAAAGGAAAAAGATCTTTAAAAATCTCCGCCACGTCGTTTTTCTTGGTTGCGCGGTGCCGCGCGCGCGAGCTTTGCCATCCACGCTTGCCATCACGCTCCGGCCGTTGATATGTCCGCGGCCAAGCTCTCCGAGAGGCTCGCCACGCTGCAGTATCTAACGCGGCCGTCGGCGGGCAAGCGCACCGGTCGCAACATTGGCGTCCACGCAAACGTCGCCACTGACCTCGAGGCCGTCCATGTGCCGATCCCGGTAAAGATGGCCGACTACAGGCGGGTCGCTGCGCCGCCCCGCTTGATCGTCGATCGCTTCGAGCTGCGCCGCTGGCAGCCCGCACAGCCCGACTTTGCGGACCCTGCCAGCGTGCGCACGTTCTACGCCGCCGCAGAGGCTTTTGTGTGCGCTGCCGTCGGCGCCGCCAGGGTGCACGTCTTTGACCACACGCTTCGGACGTCGGGCGTCTCGTCCCTCAACGCGGCCGACGGCGCATCCGCTGCAGGCGCCGTCCTCCGTGTGCACGGAGACTACACGGCCGACTCCGCTCCAACGAGGCTGGCGCAGCTCGCCGCCGCGGGAGCCATCACGGTAGAGCCCGCGCCGTCGCGCTTTGCGTTCGTCAACGTCTGGCGCTCTGTGGACCAGCAGCAGCCGGTGCTGTCCCACCCTCTCGCGCTCTGCCGGCCGCGCAGCATCGACTACGCCAGGTATCGAGAGTAGCCGAGAGAGTAGTCGAGACTACTGGCCGGGATTGCCGCGCAGCCCCTGGAACCTCCCTGCGTAGGGACACTTGGTCCTATCACATGCACTTTGAGGACCGCGTCGGCCGCAACCTCGCCATCGAGGCGAAGGCCGGCCACGAGTGGGGCTACTACCCTCGAATGACAGCCGACGAGGCGCTCCTCTTCTTCGCTTTCGACTCGAGCGCCGCCGACGGCGACGTCGGCGTCGTGCACACCGCCTTCGACGACCCGGCCATCGACGGCGCAGGCGTGCCGCGGAGGAGCGTCGAGCTGAGGACGGTGGCGCTGTGGGACTAGCCTGTCTGTGGTGGGAGGCACGGAGGACGAGTCGTGTCTGCGGTTCTCTGTTCTCTGTTCTCTCGGCTCTCGCGCTGAGACTGAAAAAAGAATCTGGTTCTATGTGTAACACTGAGGCCTTCCGCCTTCGTCGGCTTCGAGGAGAGACATGTCACATGATTTTAGCAACGGCCAACGCGAAGAAGATGACTTCTTGTGATCTCTGTGATCTGTGAGGGTCCGCCCGCACGCGCATATTTTCTTGTTGGTTTTCAAAAGTCTCTCTCCCAACGGCAACGGCCAACGGCAACGCGACGGTGGACGGACGGAGCGTGTGGTCGCGCTTCACAGTACACAGATCACCGCGTCGCGATAAGAATGCTTTCTAAAGGTGCGGTGGGGAGCGGGGGAGGAAGAGGGGGAGGGGTCCGACTGAGGAGGAGGTGCGGTGGAGGTGGGGGGGGGGGGAGGAGGGGGGCGTGCTGGGGGAGACGGGGGATCGGGAGAGGGGGAGGGGTGCGGATGGGGCGGTCGGGGGAGGCGGAGCGGCGGGGTCCGCGAGGAAGCCGAGGAAGGCAAGGAAGTCGCGGCAGGATAAGCACGCGGGTCGACTGCGGTGAGGGAAATCCTTGGCTTGGGGGGGGGGGGGGAGGGGGGAATGTCTGACCCAGGGGGGGGTGTAGCGACTCTCTGTCTCCTTGGTTAAAGCTGGCCAGCTACATAAAAGTACAAACGCGGTGGGAGGAGGCGGCACCGAGGGGCTAAGGTCGACGTCCTCTCGGGCTACGACAAGGTGAACGTGATCTGGTCCTCACGGGGTCGACCCGTCTCCTCCCCCCGGGCGTGACGGACTCCGTGGCAGCGTACGGTCGGACAGAAAGGAATTTTGACTACTGACCAGCTGACAAGTTTCTGTAGCGCGACTCGGAGTTGCTATGTCGGCCTCTCTCGCCTGGAAGAGCCCCCCCTCCCCTCCCCCCTCCCCCTTCCCTGTCCGGCCAACGCGGAGCACATACCCTCTTGCTACCCCCTGCAGGTGAGGGAAAGGCACAACTCAGACCGATGGGCTTGCCCATCCCGGAGTGGTTCGATCCCACACAAACCCGAGACGGTGACGGGAGCTATCTGATGATCTCAGGCCCGGTTGGAGGGTAGTGCGTCGGATTGCCTGGATCCTGCTGAACAAGCTCCTCTTGTAGCTCGATCGGTCACACCGCCATCGCCGTCGGGGAGAGGGGGGGGACGACACTGCTTCGGCAGCGTGCACCTCGATCCTGTACCGTGTTTGTTATGACCCCCCCCAATGAACATACCAGTGAGGGAGGGCGAGACGATCGAGGGGTCCCGTACCATGCGGAATCGACCCTATCCAGTGCTCAAGTGCTCAAGTGTGCCGGTGTGTGTGCTAGTCTGCGCCAGTCCGCCCTTGTAAAGAAAGAAAGAAAGAAAACAGACAACCCAAGGGAGGGATGGGAGGACGCCCTTGTTGTGCCTCAGCTGTGCGAGCGAAAAAAAATTTTCGGGTAAGTTCTCTGCTTCTGCCACTCCGTCGGGGCGCCGGCATCGAGCGGCGGGAGGCTGCGGAGGGTTGCTACGTGCGAGCCCGTCGTTGGTGGTGTTTGTTGGCACAGCGCACGCCGCATGTTGGCCTTGATCTGCCTGGGACTCTCGCTGCGTCGTCTCCCCACGCGAACGTCGCACCGATCGGCGCCACAGGCTGCGGCCAACTCTCCTGCACCGCGTGTCTCGGTCGCCGAGGCTGCTCACGACGCAAGCTCTCCTGCGCCGTGCGCCTCAGACGCGAGCGCTGCCGCTTGGCTGCTCGCCGCGGCGCGGAGCCGGCGGCCGCTCGGAAGGCGCGCGCTCGGCGGGCCGGCGTACGAATGGCTGCAGAAGGAGGTGCGTTGGCTGGCACAGGAGTACACCCTCTTCCTCGAGGACGCGACGTGTGGCTGGCTGCCCGCCGGCTCGGAGGAGGAGTCGCTTGTGCACGCCGCGGCGCGGGCGCGCTTCGGCCCTCCTGCCCTCCAGCGCCACCTCGCCAGGCGGCTCAGCGAGTTGGAGCTGCACGGGCACGCCTCTCCGCGCGCGGTGGCCAACGCAAGCGTCGGGGTCTGGCACGCCAACGCAAGCGTCGGAGTCTGGCACGAGCCGACCGTCTGGTCCGCCTTCAGCCTCGCGCTGCAGGTGCGGCTCGAGCCAGTCTACGAGGGCGGCTGGCGAGACTCGGTCGAGTGGTCTGTCTACGCGGAGCTGCGACCGAAGGCGGCGGCGGAGGGGTGGGAGCTCCGGGTCTCGCAGCCGGCGAGGCGGCGAGCCCCGCGCGCAAGGGCGGCGGCGCGGCGCGAGGAGACGCACGGCGGCGGCGGCGGCGGGAGCGGCGGGAGTGGCGACGGCGGCAGGCGTGAGCCGAACCCGAAGCAGCCGCTGGGCAAGAGGCAAGTCGGGGCGGCGACGCTGGCGTGGCTGCACACGGCGGCGGGCGGCCTGGCGGGGGAGTACCTCTCCCTGGTAGAGAGGCTGCGGGCGGAGGGCGGCTCGCTCACGGTGGAGGCGCTGCACGCCGCCGCCGCGCCGACCTTCGCTCCCCGCGCCGTCGTGCTCCGCTGCGACGAGATCCTGGCGGCGCTCGGCCGCCCGCCGGAGGTGCCGGAGGGCAGGGCGGCGGAGGTGCGGACACACGTGCCAACGGTGTGGTCCGCCTTCGCTTGCGCCGTGCGCGCGAGGCTCCTCGAGCGTGGCGGCGGGCACGCGGCCGGCGGCGAGCGTGGCGGCGGCGAGAGCGAGCGCGGCGACGATCGATGGTCTGAGAGCGTCGAGTGGCGGCTGCTGCGCCGCCTGTACGAGGCGGGGCGCTCGTCGGAGGGCTTTGCGTGGCGCATCGCCGCGGCGTCCGATGCGGCGGGTGGGGAGCGGGAGGCGGCTGGAGTGGGTACAGCGGCGGGAGTAGGGGCGAAGCCGCGGGTGGGACGAGGGGGCGGAACGAATACCGGTGAATATACTTAAAATATATGTGTGCGTTATTGCGTAGAGGGCCGGCAAGCGAGACCCCGTGTGAGTTTTTGTGTTTTCGAGCGTATGACCACAAATTGCCGCAAAAGAATAAATAGAACATACTCCCCCGCCCCAGCACGCAGCAGCAGAGAGCAGCACCACAGACAGAAAACCATCTGCCGCGATCTGGGATTTGTCAGTGTGTGATGTGATAGTTCACTGAGATATTTACATGTGCGGGGAGATGAATCATCATGTGGATATTTAATGGTCAACACCGAGTTCCGACCAGTCGGACAATTTAATTGTCGTTTGCTCCAAGTTTGTCCGAATCATCACAGGCTAGTGCCATTTCACTGTGACACAGCTCGCGTTACAAAACCTTGATTTGACCATTTGCGCAAAAAGGTACATCTCGGTGCCTTCCAGAGGCAGCTGCGACCCCGCCGAGTAGACGGCGGCACACAGCAGGTGGCGCGGTGCCCCTCCGTCCACTCGCCGGGGTCGCAGCTGCCTCTGCGCGTCCTGTGGATGTACCTTTGTCGCGCGCCGGAGATGACTCGACGCCGCTGAGATCGGAGATCAAGCTCTGACAGGTCGCACGTCGCTCCTTTGACGCCGACGTGATTTACCCGTGCAGATCACATCAGGACACCGGTCTCGACACGCTCGGTACGACGCCTGCGACCCGTATCGGGTCAGGTGGCACGACGCTCATCGCGCCTGCCAGCGCTGCCGTGCAGGTTGCCACGACGAGGTCGAGAACGCTTCTATACGCTCGCCGAGCCTTCCTTTCCATCCCATTAGGCAGCCTGGGAACGGTGGCGATCAGAGGCAAAGCCTACGAGGGGTGGTGGAACCACATGTCACGGCTACTGCCGGCTCGACCCCACGATAGCCTCCGGAGGCTGACTTTGCGGCACCATCATCGGACGATGTCGACGAGTTGGGTCGCTCTCGCGGTAGCCAGATGACCTCTCATACTAGGAGCATCGGCCATGGCCGCAGGGAGCGCGGGGGAGGGCGCTGGAAGCAACACGGAGCTCCGTTGGAGACGTTTTCAAGATTAGCGTGTCAGAGTGAAAAATGGCACTAGCCACAATCAATGTACAAAATGTGAACCTGAACGATGGACAGTGATTCTTGAGATAGCATACAGAACGCACACATCACAAAAAAATCTCGAAAACACATATCCCATGCGATCACCCCCCATGGGTGCCCTTTCTAGTCATTCTAGTGAATGAATTGACTCGTCCCAGTGGATGTGTCCGATTTCCGACGTCCCTGTCAAAATGTGCGTGACGTCCGATCCTTTGTAATCGTCTAGAGACGCTGGACACATGAGCACGGAGCCGGCCGCTCCCGGCCCCACGCTGCGCCCACGGCCCGCGCGGCCGGCGCAGCCACCCGGGAGCTCAGGCGCTACCGCTCCGCTTGCGCATGGTAGCGGCCTACGGTCCGCATCCTGCCGTCCGGACAACCGAGCCCAACAATCGGCGCCGGACAACCGAGCCCAACACCCTCCGCCCAGCCCGGCCCAGGGGTCGCCGTCCGAGGCACCAGCCGCGACACCATCCGCCGGTGCCGCCGAGGCCGGTGCACTCAGCCCCAGCGGGCAGGCGCTTGCCGCCGCAGAGCTGGCGTCGCACCAGAGGCAGTGCGCAAGCGCGCAGCCTTTGCCTTTCGTGCAGGTGCAGAACCCTGGAGTGCAGCCGCAAATGTACCTGCCGCCCTCGTCTGGCCTCGCCGACCAGTGGGCCTGCTGCGCGTCGATGGCCATGCCTTCGCAAGCCTCCGGTTTCGGCTGGCCTGCCGCGCCTGCTCTCATGGACCCCGCTTGGGTGCAGAGCCCGCATGGCTGCAGCGCGCCCGCCTTCCACGGCTGGGGGATGGGGCAGGTGCAGCCCTCTTGCGGCTCCTACCTCCACACTGGCGCGCAGCAGCTCTACCCCTGCGGCGGCGAAGCGTGGTCGCCCTTTACGCAGCAGCACCAGGTGCAGCAGCAGATGCAGCAGCAGCAACAACTGATGCAGCAGCAGCAGCAGCACGCCGCCTTTCAACCCGGGTTCCCTGCGCCTGGCGCTTCGGCTGCCGCCATTGGCGCTGGCCAGGCCGCCTCCGCCGCCCGAGGGCAA